TTTGAGCTACTTGTCCCTCTGCAGGCAGTGTTCTTTCTAAAACTCAAATCTGGTGGTCCTGATCCCCCACTTCTTGAAGATCTCTAAGGGTCCGATATTACCTACCACAGTCATTTCCTGAGGAAGTTCACATATTCTCTTCAGTAACAGTAGAAAAACTACCAAGGCAGTGATTCCCATGAGAATTGGGGGATGGAGGTGAGATAAAAGGCCTCTGAAAATCAGAGAACTTCGGGAAATAGCATTAACTCTTCAGCCTTCCCACAATCTGCCCCCAACTTACCTTAGCAGGCACCAACCACAGGCGCTTCTAGCAGTTTCCAAACCCCACACCCTCTGGTCACTTGTGTCCCTGCATACTGACACTTTTCTGCAAAATACTCAACCCCCAAATCACCCTCCTTCAACAGCTCCAAGCAGTGTGATGCTTCCACAATAATCCACATGGTATAATGCAATCACCAATACATCTGTCTTCCACGACTGAGATTCTTGTGCAGTGTTTAAGAGACGTCTATAATGTGCCACTGTCCAGCCCACAGGTCCCAAGCAACAACTGGACTTGCTGTGTGAATGTACCCAAACTCCCTCATTTGAGGAGAGTGATGCCAGAGAGATCAGGGGACCTGACTCAGGTAACCTAGCAGTGAGAGCAGGAAAAGCCTCCAGTGCTGACTCTCTGTCCTTTGCAAACTCCCTAAAACCTCCGACTGTGCACTACTGATGAGGCTCAAAGGCAGCTTCTGTGGCCATTTCCCCACAGCTCCGAGCCCAGGTCACCTCGTTCTCCCACCTTCTCTGCCTAACCTCATCTACTCGCTACCCTCTCCACGACCTCAATTTGGTAACCGTCGAGGCTACGGGGCATCGAAGGCCAAGTAACTCAAACAATGTGCCGACAACCCCAGAGCACCACTGGGCTTTCCAAAGAGGGCAGCATCCCACCCTCAGGCGAGGGAGATTGGCCACCCTCCAGCTGCCGTGCTAGGTCCGACGGTGCCTTTCCCGCCAGGCTGCGGGCAGGCGGCTGGAAAGGGGAAGGCCGGGACCTGTGGGAGGGGCGCCCGCCTCGCCCACCCCAGCGCCCTAGGGCAACGCCCCGCGGCTGGCGCTCACCGAAGACCAGGATGTTCTTGCCGGACGGCAGCTTAGACCTGGCACGGGTGGACACTTCGCTCAGGATGGAGGACCTGCGGCGACAATGGCAAGAATGGTCAGCTCCGGGCTGGGATGGCCCGGCCCGCGACGGCCCCTCAAGTGTGTCCGACGGTCCAGCCCAAAGGCCGCGCCCTCCACTGCCCGGCCCGACCGCCCTCGACCTCACCATAGGCTCTGGCCTTCCTCCTCCTCACTGGTCAGGTCGCCGGCGGCCGCCACCGCGGACCCGTTGGGGCCCAGCAGCAGCTTCTTTTCTACCCCCACCGGCGCCATCTTGCCAACTGCAGCCACAAAGAGGGCCCTCCCCCGGGCACGCCGAGGACCTGCGAGGACCCCGACCGGGCCGTCCCCCGCTGGCCGTCCCCCGCCCCGCGCCTCCCGCCGACTTCGCTGCGGGGACTGCGCCGCCCAACGTGTCCTCTAGGCCTGCGATGGCCACGGACTACCACGGGTTGCGAGGCCGCCGAGGTGGCGGGCGGCGGTCAGGCAGCCGCCGGGGCAGCCATGCGCCGGGAGGCGGTGACAGGGGCGGGCACTGTCTGGACCGAGGGCGCGCTGGCGGCCTCTGCCGGCCGAGAGGCGCAGAGTAGACCCCCTTGCCCATTCCCCTGTGCCGTCTGGGGCCGGGATAACTGACCCGAAAGCCTAGGCTTTGGAATCAGACTGATGCACACACAAAAGCGGCATTTTTCTAGAACTCACTGTGTGCCAGAGTCACACATGATCTCACCGAATCTTATCTCTTTCACAGATGAGGAACCTAAAGCTCAGAAAGTTTAAGAAACCCACCCGAGGACCCAAGGCTAGAAGACGGCATTCGGTGTTTCTACTCTTACTCATTGTATCATGTATGAACTTGGCCTAACCGTAGTCAAGCCTTGCATTGAAAGATCAGCCTTAAGCAAGACCCCAAAATCCTCATAAATATCCTGCTTTTACCCCTTCTCTGAAGACTAAAGACTGTGAGATAGTGCTCTTGACCACAGTGCACAATACACTTGGCTGTGCCTTACTAACATGCTTTTTAAATGATGTTTTCAGGGAGCCAGCATTTCACACCAGAAGAGCTTTTGACTTCCTTGCATTGGGTGACGGGGGGCAGGTGCAGAGCGGGGAGGAAAACAGGGAAAGGGATGGAAAAGGGAAAGACTGGAGAGTAACTGAAGGAAAAAAATACATTCCATTATCAAGCTTTATTTTAGGTGTGGCTTCTACTTGAGGACTCTTACCATTCTCTATGGAAACAGGCTAACAAGACATTTCTAAATATCACAAGAAAGTGGAATATGGCAGCAAAGCACCAACTAAGTGGGTTTCAGATGAGTAGGATTGTGATCCTGATGCCAAAAATCTGGCAGCATGAATTACGGGATACAAGAAACGGGCATATCATCTGCCAAACTGGATGTAAAGTTTAAACAAGACGAGAGTGAAAACCTATTGAGTTCCTCCCTTGGATATCTGGGAAAATAAGGCAAAGTGCCAGAAGTCCTAAAAGGGCAAGCAGTGCTGAATTCTCACAGGACAGAAGATGGAGTTGAAAATTACAGGCCAATAAGCTTAATCAGCACTAAGTGAAATTTTGTGATTAGAGGTTAAAGGAAAAGAGAGTACCAGATTTACACAGTAGCTTTCTTTTTTGCAGGAGTACCGTGTAGGCGGATGCTGCAGATATAGCAAATGCAGATTTCAACAGGGCTTTTGACAATTCACATCTTAGATGAGAAAGTGAAATGGAGGCTGGATGATAGCATTGGGGCTTATTAAAGACTAGCCCAAGCCGGGCGCGGTGGCTCAAGCCTGTAATCCCAGCACTTTGGGAGGCTGAGGCGGGTGGATCACGAGGTCAAGAGATCGAGACCATCCTGATCAACATGGTGAAACCCCGTCTCTATTAAAAATACAAAAAAAAAAAAAAATTAGCTGGGCATGGTGGCGCATGCCTGTAATCCCAGCTACTCAGGAGGCTGAGGCAGGAGAATTGCCTGAACCCAGGAGGCGGAGGTTGCGGTGAGCCGAGATCGCGCCATTGCACTCCAGCCTGGGTAACAAGAGCAAAACTCCATCTCAAAAAACAAAACAAAAAAAAACACTAGCCCAGCTGGGCATGGTGGCGCACGCCTGTAATCCCAGCACTCTGGGAGGCCAAGGCCGGTGGATTACAATGTCAAGAGATTGAGACCATCCTGGCCAACATAGTGAAGCCCTGTCTTTACTAAAAATACAAATATTAGCTGGGCGTGGTGGTGCACACCTGTAGTCCCAGCTACTCGAGAGGCTGAGGCAGGAGAATCGCTTGAACACACGAGGCAGAGGTTGTAGTGAGCTGAGACCACATCAGTGCACTCCAGCCTGGTGACAGAGCAAGACTCTCTTAAAAATAAATAAAATTAAAAAAATAAAGACTAGCCCAGATGTGGCTGATGAAGAGGAGGGACCAGCAGAAAAGGCTGCTAGGGGCCTGCCCTAACCTACTGCCCTGGCTAGCCAATTCAGGGTGCCATCAGTGACTTGGATAAGAATAGAGTAGCAGTCATGAAGTTGTGGATGACCTGAAGCAAGAAGGGTTGCCTTATCTACTGGATAACAAACTGACCAGAGACTAAATCTAACAAGATGAAATTTAGCAGGAACTACTAAAGTCCTGTGGAATGGTTTAGCAAAAATGCATAGGAAGGCCAGGTGCGGTGGCTCATGCCTGTAATCCCAGCACTTTGGGAGGCCAAGGCTGGTAGATCTCTTGAGGTCAGGAGTTCCAGACCAGCCCGGCCAACACAGTGAAACCCCGTCTCTACTAATAAAGTACCAAAAAAAAAAAAAAAAAAGCAAAGAATGGTGGCATGCACCTGTAATCCCAGCTACTTGGGAGGCTGAAGCACAAGAATCACCTGAACCCAGGAGGCAGAGGCTGCAGTGGGCCAAGATCACACCACTGCACTCCAGCCTGGATGACAGAGCAAGACTCTGTCTAAAAAAGAAAAAAAATCCATAGGAATGGGATAGGAAATTGTTTGAAAGTAATAAAAGTTACATTCTACAAGTCATTACTATATTAACTATAATCTGAGAGTTGGTCATGTAGAATGCCAAGAAGCTTCTTAGGGTAGAACCCATAAAACCTCACTGATGCTAACAGCCCCATGCCAGTCAGGCTGATTTCTTAGGGTGACATTTCTGGACATGTTTTGCAAAGACAAGAAGTGTCAAGTGGTCAGTGACTAAACTCATAAGGGGACATGACATTGTTCTGCTGCAACACCAAGTAACTAGGGCTCATCAATATGAAGGATAAAGACATATAGAGAGAAGGGAAAGTGTAGCCACTTCTAAAAAACTAAAGCAAATAAACACACACCAAAAAGAAGTGAACCTGACTATACAATGTGGGAGTATTCAAATCAACATCACAATTAGCCTTTAGAAGAATATTGTTTACTACAGTAAACAATATGGAAACTTTTTAAAGAGACAGGGTCTCACTCTCTTGTCCAGGCTAGAATACAGTGAAACACTCATAACTGACTACAACCTCGAACTCTCAAGTAACTAGGACCACAGAGGCATGCCACCACATCCAACTAATTTTTAATTTTTTTGTAAAGATGGGGGTCTGTTGCCCAGGCTGGTCTTAAATTCCTTGCCTCAAGTAGTCCTCCCACGTTGGCCTCCCAAAGTGCTGGGATTACAAATGTGAGCCACCACCACAGCCAAGGAAATATTTTAATTAACAAAATGGCAAATATTGATTTAGTATGTGGGAACCTTAAATAGCTTGGGAAACTATAATTCCTGAATTCTGGGGAGGGACATTTGCACAGTGTAAAAATACCAAAATCCAAATGTCTCACATAGTATTTATTGCAATATAATGCCAAATAACGTTTAAAGGCTCATCATTCTTTTCTCTATGTCCTTTAAGCTTAAGGAAAAATAAAAGCATAGTCCTAAACAAATCTTTGATCTTATGAAGGAATTTTAGCTTCCTAATCTGTATACTGAAAATATATCTGCTTTATAAATCACTGTAATAATGTGATGAGTTTCAGCATCACAAAAACTGTTTAATGAAAACTGTATCCTCATTTCCACATTCCTTCTCATAAGAGTTTAGAAACATACTTTAAATGTAATGTTGTATCTTTCAAGGCAATGTATTTTAAGAATCCAAACTAAAAACCGACAGTCTTCTTCCAATCAAGAAGCTGCACATTCGGGGCGTTTGGTCAGCTTGTGATATTTGTGAGCAAGGTCCACAGCCTTCCGTCCTTGCTGAAAGGGGAAAGACCACAAAATTAAATTCCAGTGATTTCCCATTTTCTTAACTCCATTGAAAAGGTAATTTACTTCTTCTTCAGTAAAGTTTTTGCGAATTCTTCTTGTTTCTGTAATTAGAATTGTAGAATATGTTAATATTTGCTGAACAAAGGTCCTGAGATGCAAATTTGCTTATTTGGATATGTTTAACTTATACTTAAGGATATAAACTATAGAGAGAAATGCCGGGGCTACTCATCATGTGGAAACCCACTTCAATTTTAAAAACCTGAGTGCCTAATATTAAGCTAGTTGCTATCACTGTGACTTCTTCAGTAATTATAACTTAATCTACAGTAGTAATACAATATCTTTCAATCAAGAAACAAAAGTTTATAAACATTTGATTGTTAATTCAACATTCCTGTGAGGCCAGTTAACAAACAGCTTACTGGCCAGGTGCAGTGGCTCACACCTATAATCCCAGCACTTTGGGAGGCTGAGGCAGGTGGATTACTTGCAGTCAGAAGTTCGAGACCAGTCTGGCCAATGTGGCAAAACCCTCTCTCTACTAAAAATATAAAAAGTAGCCAGGCGTGGTGGCACATGACTGTAATCCCAGCTTCTTGGGAGGCTGAAGCATAAGAATTGCTTGAACCTGGGAAGCAGAGGTTGCAATGAGCTGAGATCGCACCACTGCACTCCAGCGTGGGTGACAGAGCAACTCTGTCTAAAATTATTTATTATTATTATTAATAATATGGCCGGGCGTGGTGGCTCATGCCTGTAATCCCAGCACTTTGGGAGGCCCAGGCAGGTGGATCACAAGGTCAAGAGATTGAGACCATCCTGGTCAACTTGGTGAAACCCCGTCTCTACTAAAAATACAAAAAATTAGCTGGGCATAGTGGCACGTGCCTGTAATCCCAGCTACTCAGGAGGCTGAGGCAGAAGAATTGCCTGAACCCAGGAGGCGGAGGTTGCGGTGAGCCGAGACTGCACCATTGCACTCCAGCCTGGGTGACAAGAGCAGAACTCCGTCTCAAAAAAATTAAAAATAATAATAATAATAATACAGAGCAAGATTCCGTCTCAGAAAAGAAATAAAAATAAAAGCACTCTGGGAGGCCAAGGTGGGCGGATCACCTGAGGTCGAGAGTTCAAGACCAGCCTGACCAACCTGGTGAAACCCCATCTTTAAAAAATAATAATAATTTGCCGGGCGTGGTGGCTCACGCCTGTAATCCCAGCACTTTGGGAGGCCGAGGCGGGTGGATCACGAGGTCGAGAGATCGAGACCATTCTGGTCAACATGGTGAAACCCCGTCTCTACTAAAAATACAAAAAATTAGCTGGGCATGGTGGCGCGTGCCTGTAATCCCAGCTACTCAGGAGGCTGAGGCAGGAGAATTGCCTGAACCCAGGAGGCGGAAGTTGCGGTGAGCCGAGATCGCGCCATTGCACTCCAGCCTGGGTAACAAGAGCGAAACTCCGTCAAAATAATAATAATAATAATAATTTAAAAATAATAATAATAAAAATAAAAAAACAAACAGCTTACCTATCTCACAGATACAGTCTTCCCAAAAGGCTCCATAACTTGATAGAATGGAAAAGAATATCAACACTTGTTATTTTAAATATTAGGTTTGATAATGATTTTAAGAATACAGGTCTTTTGAAATTTCCTTTTAAAAATGTGGTCAACTAGATCAAAACTCAAAATATAGGCTGCAAAATGGGGAAGGAAGTTTTTAATTATCTGGTTTTTAAGGGATACTTTCTATAACAGAAAGAATATACAGTTGGTATCTGTAAACAAACATTTTCTGGTGATGATTACCAGGAAATAGTTTTCTTTAAGCTTTTTAATTTATTATTATCTCATGTTATCATTGTAGGTAGATGCTGGTGAGGAGAAGTTTTTTGTATTTCCACTTGAGGCTGTTATTTACTTTAGTAGTACTGGGTGCAGTTGTCCTGGGTCAACTTGGAAATCTTAGAAAATCTTGCCCTTGCAGGCCAAGACAGCCATTTGTTTAGCTTTCCTAAGAGCTACTGTTCAGACCTTTTAAAACAGAGGAGAAAATCTTCCCAGCAGAAGGTTGAGAAATCAGTGTAAATAATGTCTGATTACTTGATAGTATTATTTAGAATGTAAGCTCCATGAGGACAGCAATTTTTATCTATTTTATTCACCATTGTTTCCCCAGTGCTTAGAATATCTGACACACAGTGGTGGTCAATAAATACTTGTTGAGAGAAAAAAATTACTGGTAAAATTATCTCAAAATGTATCAATGAAATTACTCCTTCCTTTTCAGTCTACTGGAAAACTGTGGCTATCCAAGAAATAGGTTTCAACTTCCCTTGCTAAATGATTTGAACTCATAATAATCAGAACTAGATTGGTTACTATAACTTTCAGGATATTGATCCCTGAAGTTGATCATGTAAAGTCCTTTTTCTATTGTGACTGCCATACCCCTGACTTTTATACTTAACATCTGTGTCCAAATCCTCTAAGATTCCTACAGCAGGGTACTGGGCAGCCTGGAAGAAGGAAACAGCTCTCTACACCCCAAACTCCCTGCTCTGTGGCTTCTTTAGTGCTCCTCTTAGGTATTAGGGAAGAACAGGGAAAAATGGGCTTAATTCTAGGGACTCTTATTTTTCAAGCCCTCTCAAAACACAATCCATCCTGAAATAGAGCCTTGAGGAAATCTGTAAATGCTTAGTACAGTGGTCCCTTCTCAAAATAATGGGCTCAAATTTGAGTATAAAGTATAATTAAATGAATGGTAGTAAATGTCCTAAAAGAAAGGTAAGTATCAAGAGGGGAAAAAATGGCAACATACCAAATATTCCTGGCCTGCGTGTGAAAGAAATGTAAGAATCACTACTTTCCCAAGATTCCTTTCTAAATTCTAAAAAATTAGGCCAGATTATTTGGTTTTAGCTAAAGCAAGTTTAACCTACAAAAAAAAAAGTATGTTTTTTTCTGAGCTCAATGTCACTTAACGGTATATAAGACCCCTGTATATAATCATTGTCTAACCATTATTATGCCCATTTTATGAAGCTCTGCAAACTATTTTACTATACAAATGGATTACAGAATATTTTTTGTTGTTACCTACTTGCTTTAAGACATTAAAAAAAAATCTATTACTAATTTGATGCCAAGTCCTTGTCAAGAACAAGATCTCCGAGTGCATGATGTTTCTATGAAAAATATCCATTTTCTAACAATTACTACAGAAAGTATTATTTCAGAAAGTCGGCTCATCTGCAGTGGGACTATACTTAATTATAATTTGCATGCGGAACTTTTAATCTAAAAAAAGACCCAAATACAAAAAGCAAAATTTGAAATTTCTTGAAAGTTTTGGCAGTGAAAATAGCCAAATAAATATATGTGGCAAAATGCTTCCTGAATGTATCAAGTCCAAATGAGTGGCTCTATAGATGTTACTAATTCCTAGATTACTTTGATAAGTAATATATCCAACCAATTTTAGTCAGCGGGTATTAACTCCATATGAATAAAAGAAAATGATAATGTTATTTAATTTTCTGATAAATTAGAAATGGTGATCAACATGAAATGTTAACCCTATGGTTAAATAAAAATTCCCATAAATTAACTAATTGTTTAAAGAAGCATTTTGATTTTTTAAGCAGAGTTTTAAGGTTTATACTATTTGTCTCTTCAATTTTTATTGTTTCAAGGGCTATAGTTATGAACAAAACCTCCTGGAAAGTCTCTCTGAAGCGCTTGTACATAATAATTTTGTTCTTAAAATAAAAATTTGAAGATAGAACAAGGGCTTCTGGAGAATGGCTTTTTGAATTAAAGTTCTGTTTCTTACCAACTATTAATAATTATGCCTTATAATAGGAGCAAATTAATATCTAACTTACAATATTGCTATAGGAATTAAAGAAAATAATGTCTATACAACACCTAACACCTAGCAGGTGTTTAATAAATGTTAGTTTCCTCCTGCTCCTTCCCCTGCTGGCAGGCAATGGGTGACCAAGCAACATGAAGAGGAATTCTCTTTTATTAGAAGGTATGACCCTCATCAGAGGCAAGGTTTACCATTTAAGATCCATTAATGATGGGACTAAGAACAACCACTCAGCTGTTCTTTTTTTCCTCAGAAATATATGAAATTTAAGTTCATTTAAAAATTAAATATATTCAGCCGGGCACAGTGGCTCATGCCTGTAATCCCAGCACTTTAGGAGGCCGAGGTGGGTAGATCGCTTGAGGCCAGGAGTTTAAGACCACCCTGGGCAACATGGTGAAACCCCGTCTCTACTAAAAATACAAAAATTAGCTGGGCATGGTGGTGCGTATCTGTAATCCCTGCTACTCAGGAGGCTGAGACAGAAGAATCACTTGAACCTGGGAGTGCAGGCTGCAGTGAGCCAATTGCTCTGCTGCACTTCAGCCTGGGTGACAGAGCCACACCCTGTCTCAAGAGAAAAAAAAATTAAATTAAATTAAATATATTCACTTATTCCTCCAGGGGTAGCAGATTCATTACTGAGTCGCCGTCTTCTATGTGGGGTCAGCAGAATTTCTGAAAAATATGGAAAACATTTAGCACACTTAGTGTATCGATCTGAGTAATAGCATATCAATTCCATTAATATATTTCCTTTATTTCCCCATCTAGTTGGAATCCTTAGGTAAATCAGGAAAAAATTTTAAACTAACAGAGTTCAAGACTACTCCCTGGGTACATCCTGAATTACCGGTTGCTTAGAGACAGATTTTCTTTTTAACATTATTTTATCCTCTAGGTTTTAATATATTTAATGTTTTAGATAATAGTTCAGAAGGTATAGCCATAATTATACTTTTAAAGCTGCTGAATTAATTACTTTTGTTACAGATAAGTGATTTCCTTAGTTCACTTTTATATCTGTCTTCAGCTTCCACAATGACTCTGTGACGATCACACTGGTATGGGCAAGAGTGCAAGAGCTTGCTAAAGTTTCGGCTATTCAGGGGTTTTTCTACTGCTATGCAACCTAAAAGAAAACAAATTAAAGTTATGTATAGATGTCACAAAATACCTAGTAACAAATCTATGAAAGCAAATATCTATATGATGGTAACTGAAGTAAAATCAGGAACGATGAATACTTCAAGAAGCTCAACATTGTGAGGGAGTAAAGACAACAAATACAACAGTGTAAAGTAAGTGTTGGGAAGGAGGTATGAACAGACAATTATGGTGCTTTAGGCCGGGCGCAGTGGCTCACACCTGTAATCCCAGCACTTTGGGAGGCTGAGGCGGGTAGATCACAAGGTCAGGAGTTCAAGACCAGGCTGGCCAATACGGTGAAACCCTGTCTCTACTAAAAAATACAAAAATTAGCTGGACATGGTGGCAGGTGCCTGTAGTCCCAGCTACTCGGAAGGCTGAGGCAGGCGAATTGCTTAAACTTGAGAGGCGGAGGTTGCAGTGAGCCAAGACTGCGCCACTGCACTCCAGCCTGTACTGACACAGTGAGACTCCATCTCAAAAAATAAATAAATGAAAGAAAGAAAGAAAAAGAAAAAGCATCTAGACTGGGTGTGATGGCTCATGCCTGTAACTCCAGCACTTTGGGAGGCCTAGGTGGGTGGATCACTTGAGGTCAGGGGTTCAAGACCAGCCTGGGCAACATGGCAAAACGCCATCTCTACTCAAAATACAAAAATTAGCTGGGCATGCTGGTGGGTGCCTATAATCGCAGCTACTTTGGAGGCTGAGGTGGAAGAGTTGCTTGATCTTGGGAGGCAGAGGTTGCAGTGAGCCAAGATCGCGCCATTGCACATGGGCCTGGCCAACAGAGCAAGACTCAATCTTAAAAAAAAAAAAGAATAAGAAAAGAAAAAGAGCATCTAGGGCTGGGTGTGATGGCTCATGCCAGTAATTCCAGCACTACATTGCCCAGGATGGTCTTGGACTCTTGAGCCCAAGTGGGAGGATCACTTGGGCTGAAGAGTTCAAGACCATCCTGGGCAACACAGTGAGACCCTGTCCCTACCAAAAAAAAAAAAAAAGGCCGGGTGTGGTGGCACACATTTGTAGTCCTAGCTACTTAAGAAGCTGAGGCAGGAGGATCCCTTGAGACCAGGAGTTCAAGGCTGCAGTGAGCCATCATCACATCGCTGCACAGAATAAGATACTGTCTTTCTTCTCTTTTTTCTTTTTTTTTTTTTTTGAGATGGAATTTCACTCTTGTTGCCTGGGCTGGAATGCAATGGCGTAATCCTGGCTCACTGCAACCTCTATTTCCCAGGTTCAAGTGATTCACCTGCCTCAGCCTCCCAAATAGCTGAGATTACAGGCATGTGCCACCATGCTCGGCTATTTTTTAGTAGAGACAGGGTTTCTCCGTGGTCAGGCTGGTCTTGAACTCCCAACCTCAGGTGATCCACTAACCTCAGCCTCCCAAAGTGCTGGGATTATAAGAGTGAACCACTGAACCTGGCCAAGACCTCTGTCTCTTTAAAAGAAAAAAAAAAGTGCATCTAGCTTGTCTGGTTTTGAACAAGAGTCACTGTTAAGAGAAGATAACCAAAAGAAGTGATCGTTATCCTCAGTCATCTTTTTTGTTTTTGACGTTATGTAAAATTTCAAACACTGAACCCCCATGTATCCATCACCCAGCTCCAATATTAATTCATGGCCAATAATGTTTTATTTATATCTCTACCTACTCAGCTTTGTCCCCATATATTCATTCGACTATGACACCTGGAATTTACATTAAAGTATCATTTCATCTGCAAATACTTCACATCTATCCTTAACAGATAAGGACTTGTTTTTGTTTTTCCTGTGACAGGGTCTCACTCTGTCACCTAGGCTGGAGTGCAGTGGTACAATCACAATTCACTTTAATCCTGACATCTTGGGCTCAAGTGATCCTCCAGCCTCAGCCTCCTAAGTAGCTGCAACTACAGACGTGCTCCATCACACCTGGCTAATTTTTTATTTTTTGTAGACACAGGGTCTTCTTACATTCCCAATTCTCCTTACATTCTCCTTACACTCCTTACTCTCAAACTCCTGGGCTTAATCCTCTCACCTCAGCCACCCAAAGTGCTGGGATTACGAGTGTGAGTCACTGTACCCAGCCAGGACTTTTTTTCTGAGATAATGTCTCACTCTGACACCTGGGGTTGGAGTGCAGTGGCATGATCTCAGCTCACTACAACCTTAACCTCCTGGGCTCAAGCAATCCTCCCACCTCAGCCACCCAAGTAGCTGGGACTACAGGCACGTACCACCACACTCAGCTAATTTTTGTATTTTTTTAGAGATGGAGTTTCACTATGTAACAGCATAGGCTGTTCTCAAACTCCTGGGCTCAAGTGATCCATTTGCCTCAGTCCTCCCTAAGTCCTGGGCTACAAGCATGAGCTACTATGCCTGGCCAGGATCTTTCTTGTAAACATAGAAAATTATCGTGACACCTAAAAAATCATGCTTAATATAATCTATCATCCAGTGTTCCATTTGCCCCATCAATTCAAAAATTTCTTTTGAAAGTTGATTAGTGGCACCGGGCGCGGTGGCTCAAGCCTGTAATCCCAGCACTTTGGGAGGCCGAGGCGGGTGGATCACGAGGTCGAGAGATCGAGACCATCCTGGTCAACATGGTGAAACCCTGTCTCTACTAAAAGTGCAAAAAATTAGCTGGGCATGGTGGCACGTGCCTGTAATCCCAGCTACTCAGGAGGCTGAGGCAGGAGAATTGCCTGAGCCCAGGAGGCGGAGGTTGCGGTGAGCCGAGATCGCGCCATTGCACTCTAGCCTGGGTAACAAGGGCGAAACTCCGTCTCAAAAAAAAAAAAAAAAGAAAGAAAGAAAGAAAGTTGATTATTGTAATCATGTCCCAAATAAGGTCCACCATTCCTTTATTTTTTTCAAGAGACAGGGTCTCACTATGTTGCTCAGGCTGGACTTGAACTCCTGGGCTCAAGCAATCCTCTCATCTCAGCCTCCCATGTAGCTGGAACTACAGACACATGTACCACTGTGTCTGACTTATATTCGGTTAACATATGTCAAGGTGCTTTTAATCTATCACTTTTCTGATACATTAGTTGCTTTTAATTTATCAGTTGTCATTTACTTATTGAAATATCTCTTCCTTGTCATTTACTTATTGAAGATACTAGGTCATCTGTACTATAGTTTCTCAAAGGCTAAGTTTTGCTGATTGCATCCTAGCTGTGTCCTTTAAAATGTTTTTGTGTGTCCTATAAACTAGTAATTAAATTTAAATGGTTGGATTCAGGTTCAAGTGTTTTTACTAGAATTCCATGCAGGTAGTATTTTGTGTTTCTTACTGTATCACATTAAGAGGTATATATTCTGTCTCTCTTTTTTTTTTTGAGACGGAGTTTCACTCTTGTTACCCAGGCTGGAGTGCAATGGCGCGGTCTCGGCTCACCGCAACCTCCGCCTCCTGGGTTCAGGCGATTCTCCTGCCTCAGCCTCCTGAGTAGCTGGGATTACAGGCACGTGCCACCATGCCCAGCTAATTTTCTGTATTTTCAGTAGAGACGGGGTTTCACCATGTTGACCAGGATGGTCTCGATCTCTTGACCTCGTGATCCACCCGCCTCAGCCTCCCAAAGTGCTGGAATTACAGGCGTGAGCCACCGCGCCCAGCCTCTGACTCTTTTTTTTAAAAAAAAAAAAAAAGGTAATTGGGCAGCCTCTTGAGCCAGAGTAGGCTCAGAGAAACTCCCTCTTTTTAAAAAAATATTAAGATAGATCAGCAGCAAACCACCGTGGTACATGTTTACTTATGTAACAAACTTGCACATCATGCACATGTACCTCTGAACTTAAAAGTTGGAAAAACATTTTTTTTAAAGATAGATTGGTAGGTTTAGGTTATGTCAGCCATGTCCATCCATTATAAAGTTCTCCATCAGCTTGTCACCTAACTGTTATCAGTGGCCCATTCCTAAAGGACTAGAAGTTGGCCACACAGATAGTTGGCTGAGATGAAGACATTTCAGTACGATGAAGATGTGCAAAAGCACAGAAGTGTGAAAAAGTACAGAGAATCATGAACACTCTAATATAGCTAGAATACAGAGAAGTGTGGGAGAAAAGGTGAGGCTGAGGAGAGTTGCAGGTAACCAGACCAAGGAGAATCTTGAAAGCCATGCTAAGGAATTTTAACTCTCTTCAAGGCAACAGGGAGGAACATAGAGATACTTCTTAAGCAGTAAGATGATATGATTTCATTTGTCTTGTAGAAAGGGCAGCTGAAGGCAAGAGGATCAGTTAAGAGGTTACTTTAGTATTCCAGAAAATAAATGGAGAGATTTTGAAACAAGGCATTTGCAGGGAGAATGGAGAGATTTCTGAGGTAAAATTAGAAGGATTTGATGAATAATGAGCTATTGGGGTAAGGGAAATGTTTAGAATAATCCTCAAGAAATTCGGTACTTGATGAAATGGCAGAGTTTGAAATAACCATAGGCTGGGCACAGTGGTTCACACCTGTAGTCCCAGCACTTTGGGAGGCCAAGGCAGGAGGATCATGAGGTCAAGAGATCGAGACCATCCTAGCCAACATGGCAAAACCCAGTCTCTACTAAAAATACAAAAATTAGCTTGGTGTGGTGGCACGCACAGGTAGTCCCAGCTACTTGGGAGGCTGAAGCAGAAGAATCACTTGAACCCAGGAAACAGAAGTTGCAGCAAGCCAAGATCATGCCACTGTACTCCAACCTGGCAACAGAGCAAGACTTCATCTCAAAAAAAAAAAAGAAAAAAAAAAGGAGAGGAAAAAGACATATAGGATTCCGATTATGGCTACACATCAGCTTTAGAGGAACAGAGATAACTTTTTCATCCAAGAGGGAAGAACAATGATGTTCTGAGCTGCATGTAGAGAACCTCAATTTTGTCCATAGAGCAGAGTACAACAGCACGATGAACAAAGAGGAACTACCAGGGTGTGAAGGAGGAGGAAAAGGGATAGAATAAGTATTGTGAACATTTACAAGAGCCCTGCAGAAAAATAAATAATGGGCATGAAACACTAGAAATATTTACATATTTATTATAAATATAAAAATAGGTATTTTAATACTTAACGCCTATGTTTACAGAATAATCCAGAATGCATACCTAGTAATAATGGCTCTGTATAAACAACAAATGTTTATTTTACTCAGTAAGGTTTAATTAATAGATGGTATCAGGACCAAAAGATAAAGTAATAAAAGGTATTGTGTTGATTCATATATATGAATATTGGAATATTGGAAGCTCAGCCTGATGCTGATAAAAGGTGGTTTTGTTTTGTTTTGTTTTGTTTGAGATGGAGTCTCACTCCATAGCCCAAGCTGGAGTGTAGTGGTATGAACTTGGCTCACTGCAACCTTCGCCTCTGGGGCTCAAGGGATTCTCCTGCCTCAGCCTCTCAAATAGCTGAGACTAGAGGCATGCACCACCACACCCTTTTAATTATTTTGTATATTTAATAGAGACCATGTTTCACTATGTTGCCTGGGTGGTCTCAAACTCCTGAGCTCAGGTGATCCACCTGCTTCGGCCTCCCAAAGTGCTCAAATTACAGGCAAGAGCCATCGCACCCGGCCTGTTTTTTTTTCTTTTGAGACGGAATCTCACTCTGTTGCCCAGGCTGGAGTGCAGTGTGCAGTGTTGCGATCTTGGCTCAATGCAACCTCTGCCTTCCAGGTTCAAGTGGTTCTCCTGCCTCAGCCTCCTGAGTAGCTAGGATTACAGGCGCCTGCCACCTCGCCCGGCTAATTTTTTTTGTAATTTTTTTAGTAGAGACAGGGTTTCACCATGTTGGCCAGGCTGGTCTCAAACTCCTGACCTCATGACCTCATGATCCTCCTGCCTCGACCCCCAAAGTGCTGGGATTACAGGCATGAGCCACTGTCCTCAGCTTTTTTTTTTTCCTCTCTTTTTTTCTTTCTGGCTTTTTTTTTTTTTTTTTTTTTTTAATGATAGAGACAAGGTCTTGCTATGTTAACCATGCTGGTTTTGAACTCCTGGCCTCAAGCAATCCTCTAGCCTTAGCCTTCCAAAGTGTTGAAATTTCAGCTGCCTCACCTGGCCAAGATAGAAGATATTAATTTGAATGTTTTGATATTCCAAAGTATTATTCCTCCAAAGGAAACAAAGTAAATCATACATGTAGAACTATTGTAAATTCTAGTTAATTACAATAAGTGTGGTGGCTCATGCCTGTAGTTCCAGCACTTTGGAGGTCAAGGCAGGAGGATCATGTGGTCAGGAGTTCAAGACCAGCCTGGCCAACATGGTGAAACCCTGTCTCTATGGAAAAAAAAAAAATAGCTGGGTGTGATCCCGGGTACCTGTAATACCAGCTACTTGGGAGGTTCAAGTTCAAGAATCACTTGAACCCAAGAGGTGGAGATTACAGTGAGCCAAGATTGTACCACTGCACTCCAGCCTGGATGACAGAGTGAGACTCCATATCAAAAAAAAAAATTCTAGTTAATTAATATCATAAAAGGCTTTGACTGTGAAACAACTATAATTAAAAAAATACTTACCTGAGCACCTATATGTCAACATTTTGGAACAACTGTCAGTTGCTAAAAAACTGACTACTTCTTTATTTATTATATCTGAACATAATGTAAATGGATCTGGAAAAAATTGCAAAATAGAAGATTTTTTGATTAATGGAAAGAATCAGACATTTAAAAAATATATTAAATATCAAGCTTTTCATTAACCTTAGCCTAGTACTATGCATCCAGTCATGCTGGTAAATAAACAGAAAGAGTCTGGGTATTAATAGAAGGCATTTACAACAGAAAGAGTCAAAGGTGTGGCTTATGCTTATACTTTAGAAGGCCAATATACCAATGGACTTTTTTTTTTTTTTTGGAGATGGAGTCTCACTCTGTCACCCAGGCTGGAGTACAGTGGCATGATCTCGGCTCACTGCAACCTCTGCCTCCTGGGTTCAAGCAATTCTCCTGCCTGAGCCTCCCAAGCAGCTGAGTTTATAGGTACCCACTACCACGGCTAGCTAATTTTTGTATTTTTAGTATAGGTGGGGTTTCACCATGTTGGCCAGACTGGTCTTGAACTCCTGACCTCAGGTGATCTGCCCACCTCCGCTTCCCAAAGTGTTGGGATTACAGGTGTGAGTCACCCTGCTCGGCCAATGTACGTTTTTAGCTATATTGGTTACCTAAATATCTGTTTTCTTGAAAAACCAAAGAAACATTTTTAACCATACCTGTTACTGGTAACTGCTGCTTTATATTTTTGGCAATGTGAACTGGATGTTTAAAAACATGGTCACTAAAAGAAAATAGACACTAGATTACTAAAAGTAAACATACTGTTTGGTGTGTGGACCAATGTTTCTGTAAGGAGTGTTGTGATTTTGGGTGTTTGGTAGGCCAAAGGAACTTGGAATCAGGATCTACCAAAATCTACCAAATTCTGCCAAAGTAGGGCCTGCAACAATTACGGTCTTGTATCTAGATCTAGAGTTAAACAAGACTCCAGAGGGCAATAGTATTAATGCCAGAAGAAACATGGAAGAAAAAGATTACAAAAAGAAGAATGTAAGAGAGATGAGGGCAAAAAGGAGAGAGCAAAATCAGTGGGAGCAAAAATGAACATGGGTGCAGAATGGCAAAGTGCTAACAATAATAATTCAAAGAGCTGAATTTAAAAAATCTTTCCTAACCCTCAAAACATTTGTGTGTTTGAACCCTGTGGTCCTTGATGAATAAATACAAGTTTTGGTTATACTGTCACAATGATAACAGGCAGTACAGAAAAAGCCAAGAACTGTAGACCATATAACAGGCATAGCAGTAGCTTCATGATTATAGTGATCTGCCCATGCACATATATTTGTAGGCACCACTACATCAGAGAAAAAAAGCATTTCAAAGAGATGGAAATATTAATAACTTGGCTGAGGTAGAAATATGGCTAACCCTATAGGGTTATGGGTGGAAAGGTTGGGATGGAGGGCAAGAAGGCTGGCCCAGGAGCATATCTCACTGCTTCCCAACTCCTCATCCCTGAGAAATCAAGTTAAAATTAACATCAAGAATGGTCTTGAAACAGACAAAAGGGGTGGTCTTGGCATAATCCTTCCTGCTACATAGTTTATGCCCTTCAACCTGCCTGAAATGTAGTAGCATCCTCTTCAATTTTCCTAAGCACTGTAATCATCAGAAGAGCATAACCCAATAAAGGGTTTAAGAAAAGCTACAACCCCAGGTCTAGCCCCATAAGCTAACTGTAAGGGAAAAAAGAGTATGTGAGTATGTTCTAGAGACAAAGTGCAGGGAAAAAACAAACGGCCAAACCCAAACCAAGTTTTCCTCACATCCTATTCTCTTTATCACATTAAATTTAAAAACTAGTTTTTGCTATACTGCTGATAGATTATCAATGCATGCATTGTTACTTCAGGTCAACGGTTTCCATTTAGGTTTTATTTTCTGAGTATCCTTTCTAAAATTCAAATCTGTTATGTCAATCAATTTAAAATCTTTAGTCACTCCCTATAACCTGTGAGTTAAACCCCAAAATCCAAAGTATGACTTTGCAAGGCCCTGGATGAACTGACCCATACCTCCCCGTACAAACTCCTTTCCCAACACTTCCTACTTTAGGCTCTTCCCAAGACCATGTTTCATCACATCATTTCTATATGCCCAGTATTTCACAGTGTGGCACACAGTAGTACACAATAAATGCTTGCTGAATAAATGTTACAAATAATTATTAAATATACCTTGATTGAGAAGCAAAATTATTTTCAAAAGTAGTTTCTTCATGTAAGTTTTGATTGCAGCTTGACTTGGCTTTATATAAAGTCTTATTTCGCTCACTCTGCCTATAACAAGCATGAACTGGATTTGCACTCTTTAGCAGTGTCTTCATTTGATCATTTGTACATGCTTTAGACATGACTCCATGGGACTTAAAACTCTGAAGCTGTCTAGAATGGATTTTATCCGTGTCTTCTGCTTTGGTACCTAGACCAATATGATCTCCATGGAGATTTTTCCATGTGTTCTGAATATTTATGTTCATAGATGAAATATTATCCTGATAGTTTTCTCTTTGTATTTCTTCCTACAGTGTAAAAATGACAAGTAAATAATTTCAATATGGCTGGGTGTGGTGGCTCACGCCTGTAATCCCAGCACTTTGGGAGGCCAAAGTGGGTGGATCATGAGGTCAAGAGATCGAGACCATCCTGGCCAACATGGTGAAACCCCATCTCTACTAAAAATACAAACATTAGCTGGGTGTGGTGGTGTGCGCCTGTAGTCCCAGCTACTTGGGAGGCTGAGGCAGGAGAATTGCTTGAACCTGGGAGGTGGAAGTTGTGGTGAACCAAGATCATGCCACTGCACTCCATCCAGCCTGGCAACAGAGTGAGACTCTGTCTCAAATAATAATAATAATAATAATAATAATTTCAATATAACCATTCCCTTTATAATTATACTTCACTTAAATAATGAAGAATGAAGCAAAAGTTTATGGTTGCCAATAGAACATATATGATAAAAGGGCCGTTCACATTAGGAAGAAAAGGGGTTTATTCATTAAATGATATTGGGACAATTGGGTAGCCATCTGGTGAAAAAAATATGTTGATAACCTTTCCAAGTATTATCCAAAATCAAATAATAAAAGAAAACTAATATACTCAACCATATAAAAAAATTTTAAAGTTCTGCTAGAAACCAAAAATGTTATTGTGGGCAGGGATCTCAGGAATAAAGAACCAGAAGCAAAACCAAATGACTATCAAAACACCCAGAAGTAATATGTATAAAGCATATCTTAAGCAACAGGATACTTTTTTTTTGAGACAGGGTCTTGCTCGGTCTGTTGCCTAGGCTGGAATGGAGTGGCATGATCACAGCTCACTTCAGCCTCGACTTCCTGAGCTGAAGCAATCCTTCCATCTCAGCCTCCTGAGTAGCTGAGACCACAAGCACACACCACCACACCAGGCTAATTGTTTTGTATTTTTTTGTAGACACAGGGTATTGCCATGTTGTTCAAGCTGGAGGATAATTTTTTAAAACAATATTTATAAAAAGCGACTACAATGAAATCTGAAAAAGATCAATGATAGCATGAAAAAGCAGGCGCAGAAGATGAACAGATAGTCTATAGGAAAATAAATATAAATAGCTCTTAAACATAAGAAAAAATGTTTCATCCCACTTAGGAGAAATAAATATTAAAGCTACATTGAGATATCTTTCTTCATCTATCACACTGACAAAGATCAAAAGGCTGTGGGGAAACAGATACTCTTTTTTTTTTTTTTAATTTTTTTTTTCTTTTAGAGATGGAGTCTCACCATTTTGGTCAGGCTGGTCTTTAACTCCTGACCCTCAGGTGATCCCGCCCACCTCCACCTTCCAAAGTCTGGGATTACAGGCTTGAGCCACCGAACTGGCCTGGAAACAGATACTCTTAAAAGTTACTAGTGGAAGTGTAAGTTGATACAACTTCTGTGGAGAAACAATTTGACAGTATCTTTCATAATAAAAACCATGCCTATCTAGGTATTTGAGAGGTACTATTATTTTCTCCATTTGTCAATGATGAAGCTCAAGCACAAAGAGATTAAATAACTTGCCAAAACTTCCCCTAAAGTTCACAGTATCCATGAATTTGGGTATCTGTGGGAGGTCCTGGAATCCATCCCCCATAGATACCAAGGGATGACTGTACTTTAAATGGGTGAATGGTTATGGTATATGAATTGTATCTCAATAAAGCTGTTACAGAATTCACACACATACACACACACACACACGTACATGTGTAGCAGGTATTTAGAGTTGTTTGCAATGGTAAGAATTTAAATATAACCTACATGTCCAACAATAAAGGACTGGTTAAATCAATTATGGCACATCTGTAATAATGAATACTACTCAGACAATTAATAAAACCACTATATTATACTAAATTGGACACTATGTTTTTATTTATTTATTTTGAGATGGAGTCTTGCTCCATCTCCCAGGCTGGAGTGTAGTAGTGCTATGTCAGCTTACTGTAACCTCTGCTTCCTGGGTTCAAATGATTCTCCTGCCTCAGCCTCATGAGTAGCTGGGATTACAGGTGTGTACCACCACATCCAGCTAATTTTTGTATTTTTAGTAAAGACAGTATTTCACCATGTTGGTCAGGCTGGTCTCAAACTCCTGACCTCATGATCCACCCATCCTGGCCTCCCAAAGTGCTGGGATTACAAGCGTGAGCCACTGTGCTTGGCCTGTTTTAATTTTTTTAAATATATGCACATAAAAGACACAAAGCATGCATTCATAGAAAAATATATTTACATAGAGAGGGGAGAGGTTATTAGATTATTACTTCTTTTTTCTTTCCGGAAGCCCAATTGTTCACATGTTAGATCTCTTCGCTCAATATTCCATGTTTCCCGTCTTTTCAGTCATCATTTCTACTTTTTAAAAATCTTTTTTGTTCTATGTCAAAGCATGATTCTTTAAGTATTACTATGGAGTTTTCCATTTAAAACCATTAAAAACTTTAAAAAAATAACTTGGGAAGAAAACATTTTTTTACCCCCCAACTGCTACTGTTAAAAATATTGGCTGGGCATGGTGGCTCATGCCTGTAATCCCAGCACTTTGGGAGGCTGAGGCAGGTGGATCACTTGAAGTCAGGTGTTTGAGACCAGCCTGGCCAACATGAGGAAAACCCTGTTTCTACTAAAAATACAAAGAAATTAACAGGCTATGGTGGCACACATCTGTAATCCCAGCTACTTGAATGGCTGAGACATGAGAATTACTTGAACCCAGGAGGCAGAGGTTGCAGTGAACCGGGATTGCGCCACTGCACTCCAGCCTGGGCATCCGAGCAAGACTTTGTCTGAAAAAAAAATTTTTTTTTAATTCATGTCAGTGTAGTGTGGAGAAAAAAGAAATAAATTTTTAAAATTTGAAAAAAGTTCTATATTCTTTAAAACAAATAATCCAACCCTATTTCCTTCTCTTTCAAGCTGTTCTATTCTGTGTAGAATTTCCTTTGCTTTCTTCCAGTGCTCTTCGAAATTCTTCTCATTCACATTTATGTCCTTTAATTGCTGTGTTTCATTTTCATCAAAAGGATATTCTCCTAGACTGAGAGATAATTTCTCAGCTTTGTAATATGGGAAAAAACAATGAATGAAAGGTTATTTAAACACTTTATATATAAAGACAACCTCACACCCTACTCTCTGCTTTCTCTAAATTTTTCCATCCAGACTATCTTAACACCTTAACTGGTACTGAAAAATAAGTGGAAAGAGTACTTAGCAGATGCCCAGGACTCAAACCATCATAAATTATACTTTACTCTTCAGAGTTACAGAAGAGTTATGCCAGGCACATAAACACCCTCAGGTACATGAATACTGGTTTTAAAGTAGTTATATTTTTAGCCCGGGCACAGTGGCTCATGCTTGTAATCCTAGCACTTTGGGAGGCCGAGGCAGGAGGATCACTTGAGGTCAGCAGTTCAAAACCAACCTGGCCAATATGGTAAAACTCCATTTCTACTTAAAAACAAACAAACAAACAATAAAACAAAAATTAAGCAGACATCATGGCATGCCCTGTAGTCCCAGATACTTGGGAGGCTGAGGCACAAGAATCCCCTGAACCCAGGAAGCAGAGGCTGCAGTGAGCCATGATTGCACCACTGCACTCCAGTCTGGACAACAGAGCAAGACTTCATCTAAAAATAAAAGTAGTTTTTAAAAATAATAATGTTCATAAAGTTATTCCTTCCTATAATCTTTTAAAGCTTTTTTTTTTTTAAACATAGTGTGTCTGCAGTTTTTCTTCCACAAAGATCAAAATTCTTATGGCCATTGCCCTCTGAGCTCAAGCTACATTGACCATCAATTCCTTAAGTGCACCAGGCTCCTCCCATCACAGGACCTTTGTGCCTCATTGTTGCTTATGCCTGAGACACTCACTGATAACAAATTCCTTTCTTTCAACCTAGTTAACTCTAGACATCGAGGTCTCGATCTCCTGACCTCCTGATCTGCCTGCCTTGGCCTCCCAAAGTGCTGAGATTACAGGTCTGAGCCACTGCATCGACCCATAATCTCATTTTTTGAGTTACTATTTCTCAAATTAAGCTCTGTGAATACACAGATTTTTTTTTTTAATCACTGTATCCCTGATGCCTAGCACAATGCTCAGCACATAACAGAAACTCAAAACATTTTAAAATAAATAAATGTACTTGTGATTTAATAATAAATAAACCTTAGTCCTCAAATTTAATTCCTCAAATGAAATTTGTGCACACGGCATAAAATAGTGAATTATCTATACTGCTACTCTCTTCCACATAGGTTTGTATATGCTGAATATACCCTAGTTGTCATATCCAAATTACATACTCTTGATTTTTTTTTGAGACAAGGTCTCACCCTATAACCCAGGCTGGAGGGCAGTGTCACGAACAAAGCTCACTGCAGCCTCAACCTGAGCACCTCCTGTGCTCAGATGATCCTCCTACCTCAGCTTCCCAAGTAGCTGGCAGGCATGCACCACCATAGCCAGATAATTTTTATTATATTTTTTATAGAGACATAATTTCTCCATGTTGCCCAGGCTGGTAAACTCCTGGACTCAAATGATCTACCTGTCTTGGCCTCCCAAAGTGCTGGGGGTACAGGCATGAGCTACTGTGTAGGACCTACTCTGCTTTTCAAACATAAGAAGAATCTGAGCACTAAAAGGGCTTGGCTCATGAAAGCAGATATAAATTCCCCTTTATAAATTTTGGTTGGTATGTCCTTAAAGTGATAGTAAACTTACTAATTTTTTTGCAGTTGTAAAGCACAAATGTGGCAGCTTTGTTCAGTTCCTCATTCTGAGATTCAGTTAAGGCTTGAATCATGAGTGGAAGGCCATTGTGTTTAAACAGGTCATACTGATTTTCCTCTGGAAAACAAAAAATTTAAGGGAAAAATAATTTTATCAGAAACTATATGGGGTCATAATTTTTCCTTGTGATAATTATGAACATAGTTCAAAATGCTAAAAATAGGCTGGGTGTGGTGGCTCACTCCTGTAATCCCAGAACTTTGGGAGGCTGAGATGGGTGGATCACTTGAGGTCAGGAGTTCAAGACCAGCCTAGCCAACATGGTAAAACCCCATCTCTACAAAAAATATATAAAAAAAAAAGTTAGCTGGGCATGGCGGCAGGCACCTGTAATCCCAATTTCTCAGGAAACTGAGGCATGAGAACTGCTTGAACCTGGGAGGCAGAGGCTATAGGTCAGCCAAGATCATGCCATTACACTCCAGTCTGGGCAACAGAGTGAGACTTCTAAAAAAAAATTTTTTTAAATAGAAAAACACATTGTTTCAAAAGGATTTTTAATATAGAAAGTAATTTACTTACAAATACAGGTTTCATAAGTGATTTCTGAAATGTAGCCAGAGTATCTTAATTCATAAAAGTAAACAGACTGCCCTCACTTGACTTGAAAAACAGTATATTCAATCCTAAATTACACAGAGGTTAAGGTGAAAAACAGATAAACTAACAGAGGAAGTAGAAAGTGAAGGAAGAAAGAGTAAAAGCAGCAACAAAAAGCAAAGGGAGGAGAGCAGAAAAATGAGAGGGGAAAGAGTGGGGTGGGGAGATTAGAAGAGAGATGGGTAGAGAGGAAGGTAGAGAGTTGGTAAGAAGGAGTAAAACAGAAGGAGAATGGGAGGAAAGTAGAGAGGAGGAGGAAAATAAAAGGGGGAGAAGGAAGAAGAGAAGAGAAGGAAAAGAGAGTAATAGGTAGAAAAAGAAGGAATCTTTGAAAGTTTTAACAAGGAGAACAGAATTAGATTTGTCCAGCAATGTGTAGAGTGGACTAAAAATGAAGACAGAAGGGAAGGAGCTTTCTCCCTATGCTGCAGTGAGAAAATCACTGCAACAATATTGGTGAGAGATGTTGTAGAGCCAAGAGCCTACTTTGGGAGGACAGCACTGGAACTGAACAGAAAGGGATAAACAGAAGTAGAATCACCGATCTTAGTGGCTGACTTAATACAATGAGTGAAGGAGAATTACAAGTTGAAATTACTAGTTTGGGGTGTGAATAACTAGTAGAAAAGCAATACTTTTTTTTCGTTTTTTTTTTTTTTTTTTTTTTTTGAAACAGAGTCTCGCTCTGTTGCCCAGGCAGGAGTGCAGTGGCGCAATTCAGCTCACTGCAACCTCCGCTTTCTGGGTTCAAGTGATTCTCCTGCCTCAGCCTCCTGAGTAGCTGGGATTACAAGCCCCCACTACCACGCCTGGCTAATTTTTGTATTTTTAGTAGAGATGGGTTTTTACCACGTTGGTCAGGCTGGTCTTTAACTCCTGACCTCATGATCCACCCACCTTGGCCTCCCAAAGTGCTGGGATTACAGGTGTGAGCCACTGCACCTGGCAAAAGCAATACCTTTAAGACCTTCACATGACTGGAAGAAAAAAACAGAAGTATATTTCCACACTACTATTTTAATAACCACACTCAATAAATCTAATACGTACCACAATCCTCTGTGCAATGACCAAGAGTGAGCATAATGCTAAATTTTTCTCCTGAATCCAGACTTTCATGAAGCAGTAATGCCAGAAGTTTTGAAACAATGTGGTACTTGCAGAGTACTATCCCAAAAGTAGCTATTAGTACAAAATAGGAAAAAGAGATAATCAGTAAAAATTAAAAACTTATAAATATATATATACTAATACATTTTTTCAGAGTTTATTCAGGCAGAATGTTTTATATCTATATAACATTAAATATACACATAACATCTAATAAATATGTGTATGTGTGAGTACAAATAAATTCACTGTAATAAGATGGTGGCTTATTACCATAACCCTCATTACTTTTTCTTCCCATACTAAAGACATATTATTAAAGCAATTTTTTTGAAGAATTTTTTTGCTTAATTGTTCTGCAGAATGCTGTGAAGATGAAGTAACACTAACTTCCTAAAAGCTGAGTATGCTTACTCTCCCCTTACAAACTTCTTATCTAGATTTAATAGTAAAGACTTTCCTACATAATCAGTTCCTGCTGACATTTAATATATACTATTGGGCCAGGCACAGTGGCTCACACCTGTAATCCCAGCAGTTTGGGAGGCCAAGGTGAGCAGATCAATCAGGAGACTGGAACCATCCTGGCTAACACACCTCTACTAAAAATACAAAAAAAATTAGCCAGGCATGGTGGTGGGCACCCGTAGTCCCAGCTACTTGGGAGGCTGAGGCAGGAGAATCGCTTAAACCCAGGAGGAAGAGGTTGCAGTGAGCAAAGATCGCGCCACTGCACTCCAGCCTGAGCGACAGAGTGAGATGCTGTCTCAAAAATAAAAAATACAATATTAACTGACCACAGTTCTACTGACTTATTGATGCAATAAAGCATATGTGAAGCTATGCTGAGATGTGACAAAAGTCTAAAAGTCCACCATTTTAGGTTATACTTCTCCTAATGGGGCTTTTTAACAGAGTTCACCCAGAGTCTAACCATACTAATATCAACAAAAAAGTTGTGGATTCCTAAGGGACTACATCTTAATCAAGTTTGTACCTGTAAAGCTCAGCATATAGCAGGCCCTAAATAACCACTTTTTCAAAAAACATCTATTTTTTGCCCCCCAGTTGTTTGTTAATACAAATAGAGTTTCTTACTCTTCAATGTTTGCACATGTGAGAAGCAGCAGCCATGAGTTCAAGTCTGGTTTCGCCACTCACTAGCAATGCTGTTTTGGGTAAGTCCAACCTCATACTTAGCAGAAAGAGATGTATTCTTTATATAAATTGAGTTTGCTATTCCTTAGTCTCAAAAATATCCCTTGGTTTCTCATCTGAAACTTTTAAATTTTTTTTTTTTTTTTTGAGAGATAGAGTCTTGCTATGTTGACCAAGCTGGTCTCAAACTCCTGGCCTCAGGCAATCCTCCCATTTTGACCACCCAAAGTACTAGATTACAGGTGTGAGCCACCATGCCCAGTCTGAAAATTTTAACTTAATGCTTGCATTTTTTTTTTTTTATGGAGTTTTGCTCTTGTTGCCCAGGCTGGAGTGCAGTGGCATGATCTCAGCTCCCTTACTGCACCTCTGCCTCCAGGGTTCAAGTGATTCTCTTGCCTCGGCCTCCTGAGTAGCTGGGATTACAGGTGCCTGCCATCACATCTGACTAATTTTTTGTTTTCAGTAGAGACAAGGTTGGCCAGGCTGGTCTTGAACTCCTGACCGCAGGTGATCCGCCCACCTGGGCCTCCCAAAGTGCTGGGATTATAGGCATGAACCACTGTACCCGGCTGTGTTGGACAATTTCTAATACTCCCTTCCACTTTTAAGAAACTGTTAATCTAAACCATGTTACTGTTTAATCTACTATTTCAACACTCATCATGCTATATTCCAACAAAATTCAATTTCAAAACAACTAGTAAGCATTGTTACTCACGATTATCTGCAATGCATGCATCCATGGTCTTTGTCACAACCACTGCAAGTTTAGCACTGGAAAGAGTCTCATGTGAATCAGATTCCAGTTGCATGAGAACTTGAGCCAATACATCCAGTCCACCCACAGATATAAAGTATTTCTGAACATATGCTTAAAAAATAAAGTAGCAAAACTATTAATATTTAAAACAAGACAGGTGAATGGTTTTACTCAATGAATTTGCACTAAACATAACATTAACTTGACTTGTTCAAATACTTTCTAAAAATCCCGAAACTAAATAATTTAAAATCTAATCTTTACCTATGCATATACATAATCAAAATAATTATTTATGTAAGCACCTTACTTTAACATAGTAAAACTATATGTATAGTACAGTATTTCTGGTGTATTAGAAATCTTTTATGTTTCATTTAGTAAGAACTGCTCTATTTTATAAAAATGACATTATTAAACTGTGCTTTGCACCGAGTATGGTGGCTCATGCCTGTAATCCCAGCACTTTGGGAGACTGAGATGGGCAGATTGCTTGAGATCAGGAGTTCAAGACCAGCGTGGCCAACATGCTGAAACCTCGTCTCTACTACAAATACAAAAAATAAGCTGGGCATGGTGATGCACACCTATAAACCCAGCTACTCAGGTGGCTGAGGCAGGAGGATCACTTGAACCCAGGAGGGGAAGGCTGCAGTGAGCTGAGCTCATACCACTGTACTCCAGCCTGGCTGACAGAGTGAGACTCTGTCTCAAAAAAACAAAACAAAATGTGTCCCTCAACATTATTAAACAAGTCTTTCAATAGAGTTATAAAGAATATATTCAAGCCGGGCGCGGTGGCTCAAGCCTGTAATCCCAGCACTTTGGGAGGCCGAGGCGGGTGGATCACAAGGTCAAGAGATCGAGACCATCCTGGTCAACATGGTGAAACCCCGTCTCTACTAAAAATGCAAAAATCAGCTGGGCATGGTGGCGCACGCCTGTAGTCCCAGCTACTAGGGAGGCTGAGGCAGGAGAATTGCTTGAACCCAGGAGGCGGAGGTTGCGGTGAGCCGAGATCGCTCCATTGCACTCCAGCCTGGGTAACAAGAGCGAAACCCTGTCTCAAAAAAAAAAAAAGAATATATTCATTCATTTAGCTTGGTAATTAGCAAGCTGTCTGTTTTCTGCAATCCAACATAACTAATTCCTCAGATTGTACGGCTCTTCAAAGTGCTGTTCTAAAAGAGTATACATCTCATCCATTATATTTACACCTAATTCTTTTAGTTCTTGGAGCTTAAAATTATAAAACATCACTGAGACTCATAACAACTACTCCAAGCAAAGATTCGATGGCCGGTATCTATGTTTTTGTTCCCTGGTTGAAAATAATTCTGGGCCGGGCATGGTGGCTCACACCTTTAATCCCAACACTCAGGAAGCCAAGGCAGATGGATTACTTGAGCCCAGGAGTTCAAGACCAGCCTGGGCAATGTAGTGAAACCCTGTCTCTAAAAAAAAAAAAAAAAAAAAAAAATATAGCTGGGCATGGTGGTGCATGCCTGTAGTCCCAGCTACTAGGGAGGCCGAGGTGGAAGGGTAGCTTGAGCCCAGGATGTCGAGGGTGCAATGAGCTATGAGTATGCCACTGCACTCCAGCCTGGGTGACAGAGCAAGACCCTATCTCAGAAAAGAAAGGAAAACAAAAAGAAAAGAAACAAAACGAATTCTGATGGGTAAGTATCCAATGGGTCTCTGGATACAAAGGTCTCTAACAGCCTCTGTCTCAGTAATGGGCTTATAATAAATGAATATATGGATATATAGGCTGCTGATTATAAATCTACCAACCTTCTTGTTTATTCTAGTTCCATAAAGCAAAGTGATTTAAAGACAAAAATTAATTTTTGTATTGTTCAATAAAACAGAGATCTTAGTCTAAAAAATCATATTCAGAATTTTTCACAGCTGGGAAAGGAATTGTAAAAAAACATTTTTATTATTTATTTATTTATTTTTGAGATGAGGTTTCACTCTGTCATCCAAATTGGAGTGTGGTGGTGCAATCTTGGCTTGCTGCATCCTCTGCCTCCTGGTCTCAAGCAATTCTTCCACCTCAGCCTTCTAAGTAGCTGGCACTACAGGCGAGCACCATCATGCCCAGCTAATTTTTGTATTTTTGGTAGAGACGGGGTTTTACCATGTTGTCTAGGCTGGTCTCGAGCTCCTGAAATCAAGCAATCCACCTGCCTCAGCCTCCCAAAGTGTTGGGATTCCAGGCGTGAGCCATTGCACCCAGCCCAGAAACATTATTTAAAGACAGGCAAACATTTTCAATATATGGTGGCTCCAAAACAGAATTCTTTACTAAAAAGTATTTTCATTTTTAAAAAATCTTCAAAAAAGAGGCTGGGTGTGGTAGTAGTTCATGTCTGTAATCCTAGCATTTTTGAGAGGCTGAGGCAGGATGACTGCTTGAATCCAGAAGTTCAATATCAGCCTGGGCAACAAGCAAGACCCCATCTCTACAAAAAAAAAAAAAAAAAAAAAAAAAATTAGCCAAGCTCAGTGGTGTGTGCCTGTAGTCCCAGCAACTCAGGACGGTAAGGCAGGGGTATTGCTTAAGCCCAGAAGTTTAAAGCTGCAGTGAGTCATGATTGTGCCAGTGTACTCTAGCCAGCATGACAGAGTAAGACTCTACCTTAAAAAAAAAAAAAAAAAGAAAAAAAGCATTTGAGTGCTTAGATGAAAATGGTAGTGTTATTACTACAGATTCATAGTTACAGCCTAAGTGAAAAAATTCAGGCATATAAGCTGAAGAACATCCTAGACCACATTTATTGTACACTGAATTATTTCAGATTTTCGCTAATCTGTAGTTTACTGAGATTAATGAAGTCCTATAACTATCACTCATTAAAGCTGGCTTTTAGAGAAAAAGGGATTGTCAGGGTATCATGAAAATAGATTCCAATTTTTTTTTCCTTTTTTTTTCTTGTTTTTCTCTCACACTGAGCAAGATTCCATTTTTTTTGAATTCTAGAGCTATATCCTTTGCATGTGAAACATGAGTATTTGTTTCAAGCACTTGAACATATACATCAGCAATGTGTGAAAGTTCTAATTGTTCCACATCCTTGCCAGTATTTAGCATGACCACTTTTTATTTTTATTTATTTATTTATTTTGAGATCGAGTCTTGCTCTGTTACCCAGGCTGGAATGCAGTGGTGTGATCTTGGCTCACTACAACCTCCTCTTCCTGGGTTCAAGCAATTCTCCTGCCCTCAGCCTCCTGAGTAGCTGGGATTACAGGCACATGCCACCACACCTGGCTAATTTTTGTATTTTTAGTAGAGATGGGGTTTCACCATCAGGCTGGTCTTGAACTCCTGACCTCGTGATCTGCCTGCCTCGGCCTCCCAAAGTGCTGGGATTACAGCTATAAGCCACCGAGACTGGTCGACCATTTTTTATTTTTAACATGCTAGTGGGTGTGTAGTATTATCTCCCTAGGATTTCACTTTGGATTTCTCCGATAACTAACTATTTCTTGAGCATTTTTTTTCCGTGAGACAGAGTCTTGCTCTGGCCACCGTGCCCAACCAATCTTAAACATCTTTTCAAGTACTTTTAAATATTCATATCTTCTTTGGTGAAGTTATCTGTTCAAATCTTTTGCCCATTTTTTTAATCATCAGGTTGTTTTGGTCTTATTATTGATTTATAAGAGCTGTTGACAAGTTTCTGGGTACAAATCCTTAATCAGATGAATGTTTCTCAAGTATTTTCTTTCAGTCTGGCTTACTTTCATCATCATAGCATGCTCTTCTGAAGAACAAAATTATTTCAGTGAAGTCCAATTTATCAATTTTTCCTTTCCTTTTTTATTTATTTATTTTTTTGAGACAGAGGCTTGCTCTGTTGCCAGGCTGGAGTGCAGTGGCATGATCTCTGCTCACTGCAACCTCTGCCTCCCAGGTTCAAGTGATTCTCATGCCTCTCGAATAGCTGGGATTACAGGCATGCACCACCACGCTAGCTATTTTTTTTTCTTTATTTTGTTTTTTTGGAGAGATGGGGTTTCACCATGTTGGTCAGGGTGGTCTCGAAATTCTGACCTAATGATCCACCTGTCTTGGCCTCCCAAAGTGCTGGGATTACAGGCATGAGCCACCGCGCTCAGTCTTACCATTTTTTCTTTAGTAATTCATGCTTTTTGTGTCTTAGAAATCTTTATGTACCCTCAAGTTGTGAGAACTTTCTGCTTTTGTCCACATTATATATTTTTCAACCTTGTATTTAACTCTATGAGCCTTGATTTCAAAGTTTTTATATACTGTATAAGGATTCAGATTCATATTTTGCATATAGATATCCACTTTTTCTAGCACCATTTGTTGAAAATATCTTTTCCTCCACAGAGTTACAATGGCATCTTTGCAGACAATCAACAACCATATACATATGAATCCATTTCTGGGCTCTCATTTTTGTTTCCTTAATCTATAAGTCTACAAGGCTGGGTACGGTGGCTCATGCCTGTAATCCTGGCACTTTGGCAGGCTGAGGAGGGAGGATCACCTCAGATCAATTCAAGACCAGCCTGGCCAACATGGTGAAACTCTGTCTCTACTAAAAATACAAAAATTAGCCAGACATGGTGGTGGGCACTTGTAATCCCAGTTACTCAGGAGGCTGAGGCAGAAGAATCACTTGAACCCGGGAGGTTGAGATTGCAGTGAGTCAAGACTGTGCCATTGCACTCCAGCCTGGGCAACAAGAGCAAAACTCTGTCTCAAAAAAAAAAAAAGAAAAAAAAGAAAAGAAAAAAGAATCTGTATGTCTACACCTACAGCAATGCCATGCTTCCTTGACTTCTGTGTAAGTACTAAAATCAGGCAACATAGTCTACAGTTTTACCCTTTTTTCCCCAAAAGTTTTGATCCTAGGCCCTTTGCATTCTATGTAAGTTTTAGAATTAGCTTGTTAATTTCTACAGAAAAATCTGCTGAGGTTTTGCTTGGGAATGCCATGAATCTAGAATTGAATTTGAAAGTAACATTCTTACAATGCTGAGTCTTACAATCCAGAGTATTATATACCTCATTAATTTTCTTTTTATTTTCATTTTTGTTATGGGGTGTGTGTGTGTGTGTGTGTGTGTGTGTGTGTGTGACAGAGGGAGGAGAGAGACAGAGAGACAGAGACAAAGACAGAGACAGAGACAGGATCTCTCTCTCTGTTGCCCAGGCTGGAGTGCAATAACACAATCATAGCTCACTGCAGCCTTGACCTTTCAGGCTCAAGCAATCCTCCTACCACAGCCTCCCAAGTAGCTGGGACTACAGGTGTGAACCATCACACCTGGCTAGTTTTTAAATTTTTTGTAGAGACAGGGTCTTTCTATGTTGCCCAGGCTGGTCTTGAACTCCTAGACTCAAGTGATCCTCCTGTTTCGGCCTCCCAAAGTGCTGGGATTATAGGTATGAGTCACTACACCTAGCCTTTTGTCTTTTTTTCTAGTCTCAAGAGGAAAACATTACGTCTTTCACCATTAATTATGTTACCTGTAGTACTTTGTACAGGCCCTTTATCACATTAAGGAAGTTCCCTTCTGTTCCTATTTTACCATGACTTTACAAATATATGTTGAATTACGTAAAATGCTTTTCCTGTATCTATTGAAATTATTACATTGTTCTTTTCTAGACTGTAAATATGATGAGTTTTCTAATGTTAAGCCAATCTTGCATTCCTGGGATACATGCCACCTGGTCATAATGTATTATCTTTTCTATATATTGCTAAATTAGATTTGTTAATACTTTGTTAAGGATTTTTACATCTCTATATCCATAGAGCTATTAGCCTACAGTTTCTCATAATGTTGTTTCTGGGTGCTGATATTGGGGTAATGCTGGCCTTGTATGTTGGGAAGTGCTTCTCTCACTTCTATTTCCTGGAATAATTTATGTGAAATTGTTTGTTTCCTGAAACGTTTGGCATAATTTGCCAGTGAAATCATTAAGGCCTGGAATTTTCTATGCTAAGGTTTTGCTTTAAGGTTTTTGTTGTTGTTTTTAAGAGGTAGGTTTTTGCTATGTTGCCCAGGCTACAGTGGCTACTCTCAAGTATGATAATCATACACTATACCCTTGAACTTCTGGGCTCAAGTGATCTTCCCACCTCAGTCTCCCGACAGCTGGGACTAGAGACTTGCGCCACCATGCTCAGCTTTTGTGATAAGGTTTTAAACTACAAATTTGACTTCTTTAACAGATATAGGAATATTCAGGTTACCTATTTCTTCTTGAGTGAGCTTTGTTTGGTAGTTTGTATCTTTCAAAGAATTTCTCCAACTCCTGTTTTTTTTTTTTGAGACCAAGCCTCACTCTGTTGCCCAGGCCGGAGTGCAGTGGTGTGATCTCGGCTCACTGTTACCTCCGCCTTCCAGGTTCGAGTGATTCTCCTGCCTCAGCCTCCCAAGTAGCTGGGACTACAGGCATGTACCACCACACCCATGTAATTTTTTTAGTATTTTTAGTAGAGACAGGGTTTCACCATTTTTGGCCAGGATGGTCTTGATCTCTTGACCTCATGATCTGCCTGCCTCAGCCTCCCAGTGTGCTGGGATTACAGGGTGAGCCACTGCACCCAGCCTCATCTAGGCTGTTATATGTCATGACATAAAGTTGTTCCTACTATTCTTTTATTATTCTTTTAATATCTGTTAAGATCTATAGTGATGTCACTTTTCATTCCTGGTATTGGTAATCTGAGCTTTCTCATATTACTTTGTGATCAGTCTGGCTAGAGGATCACTTTTATTGATCTTTTCAAAGAATTAACTCATGTTTCAATTATTTTTCTCTATTCTGTGCTTTTCCCTATTTCACAGATTTCTAATCTTCTCTTCATTATTTCATTTGTTATGCTTATTTAACTTGCTTGGTTTGCTAATTTCTTAGGTACAAGCTAATACAATAAAAAATTGTATTAGCTTGTACCTAAGAAATTAGCAAACCTGTCATGTTGGCCAGGTTGGTCTCGAACTCCTGACCTCAAGTGATCCTCCACCTCAGCCTCCCAAAGTGCTAGGATAACAGGCAAAAGCCACTACAACTAGCCAGATGCTAACAGAATTGAATTGAGACCTTTCTTCTTTTCTTACATAAGCTTAATACTATAAATTTCCTTCTAAACACTGTTTTGTAGCATCCCACAGATCTCTTTTATTTATTTTATTTTTTGAGACAGAGTCTCACTCTGTTACCCAGGCTGGAGTACAGTGGTGTGATCTTGGCTCAAAACAACCTCCACCCCCCAGGTTCAAGAGAGTCTCCTGCCTCAGCCTCCTGAGTAGCTGGGATTATAGGTGCCCAGCTAAGTTTTGTATTTTCAGTAGAGACAAGGTTTCAACATGTCGGTCAGGCTGGTCTCAAACTCCTGATCTCAAGCAATTCGCCCACCTAGACCTCCCACAGTGCTGGGATCACAGGTGCAAGTCGTTGAATCTGGGTGGGTGGGAGGGTGTGTGTGTGTGTGTGTTTTTTGACAAAGTGTTGTTCTGTTGCCCAGCATGGAGTACAATGGCAAGATATTGGCTCACTGCAAACTCTGCCTCCTGGGCTCAAGTGATTCTCCTGCCTCAGCCTCCCAAGCAGCTGGGATCATAGGTGTCTACCAACATGTCTGGCTAATTTTTGTATTTTTAGTAGAGATGGGGTTTCACCATGTAAGTCAGGCTGGTCTCAAACTCCTGACCTCAAGGGATCCATCCACTTCAGATTACCAAAATGCTAGGATTATAGGCATGAGCCACTGTGCCTAGCCTAATGCTGTATTTTCATTATCATTCAGTTAGAAACATTTTCTAATTTTCCTTATGATTCATGCATTTACTCATGAATTTTAGTACCAAGTTGTTTAATTACCAGATATCTGGGGCTTTTCCAGGTGTTTTGTTTTTATTCATTTCTAATTTAATTACCTTGTGATCAGAGAACACACTCTATGGGTTTTTGAACTTGCTATCTGGTTTCTCTGTTTTATGAAGGTATCTAGAGAGATTAAAAACCGATGCTGCTACCACTGTTTTCCCAATATCATCCCCAAAATATCTACTTTTAAGATTTTCTTATCTTTAAGAGTCTAAACACATTTAAAAAACCCAAATTACAAGAATTCAATTGATTCAATAATGAATTCAATAGTTTTTATTATACTTTGAAGTATGTTTATTCAACTATGACCTAGAAAATAATGAATACTTACTGTTATTTGCAAGAGTGAGTGCAATAAATGAGCAAATAGGGCGAATTATCTCAGGTTTCATGCAATTTTTTAGCCAATCATTAGCATGTGGAAAAAGTGAACAGCAAAACATTTGATTGTCATCTGAAAGAAGACAAAGTCAATCATGTTTTAATATGACAACTGGAAAATATCAGTTTTCATTTGTTTTTATCTTATTTTTATATTTAAACATTACAGATAATTACCATTTTGAGGATTGTTGACACAGACACACAGAGTACTACATACTGAAGACCATAACTGATAACTCTGGAAAACATTTTTATCTGACAAATCCAACTCATGTTTTGAAAGAATTGTCCTATTAGGTTAAAAAGAAAAGAAAAGAAATTAATACAAATGTGTTAATGTCCTAAGTAATGAATAATTAACAAAAAGAAATTTGTATCTGTTTACCTGAATAACTGTGACAGAACTGTAATACAACCTGTTTCTCTCACAAGTGTTTGGCCAGTCCCTTAAAAAAAACAGTCATACAAATATGAGTTTTATTTACAAATAGTCTTGTAGAAATAAAGAACAGTTAAGTTTTATTTTAATAAATAACTTTTAAACAACTTTAAAATATTACAACTTTAAAATGTAACAGAATTACAGTGGATAAAAATTTGTAATCAAGATTATTAAAAAAATATTATCACTAATGCTTATAAACTAATTGTATTCAAATTTTCCTCTAAAAATTACAAAACTCTTACTCTGCATCATGGTCTATATTACAGTATCAAGGTAAGTTCCAAAATAGAAAAATAAATAAATTCAACCTTTTCTAGTTTTTCCAAAATAAAAAAATCACAATCTAGACACATTTTTTTTTTTAATGTACACGCCTGGCAAGAAGGAACCTCCTTAGGCCTCTCTGCCAAGAGGCTTAGCCGAACTGCCTGAGCTGCTCAGACTACCATTATATCTGGGTCTGTGACCCTTTCGATGGAAATGAGAATAGCAGAGACCTAGAAGGGTGAGGAACCAGCCACTGGTAGGAGAAGAAAGTGAGGCTTGACTCCTCCCCCTCAAAGGGTACAATCTGATGCCTAGCTTCCCCGAGGCTGCCCAGCCCCTGCCCAACACCCTGGGGGTTTGGGCCTTGAGCTCTATGATCACCCAGACTTCCCCCTCTATTGATGCCCATGCCATTTCAAATCCCTCTAGCTGGAAGGGTGGCATGAGAGAGTCTGCTGGTACTGAATATGGTCTTTGTGCTGGGACCTAGGTGACATGGGGAATGGGTCACACAGCCTTGGCCTCCCCAAGTGCTGGGGTTACAGACGTGACCCACCTCACCTACCTAGAAGCATTTCTCTTTTTTGAGATGAGGGTCTTGCTCTGTCACTCAGGCTAAAATGCAGTGGCTCGATCACAGCTTACTGTAGCCTCCACCTCCAGGGTTCACTTGATCCTCCCACCTCAGCCTCCCAAGTAGCTGTTAGTACAGGTGTGCATCACCACACCCAGTTAATTTTTCTTTTTTTTATTTCTTTGTAGAGAGACAAAGTCTCACTATGTTACCTAGGCTGGTTTCAAACTCCTGGGCTTAAGGGATCCTGCCACCTCAGCCTTCCAAAATGCTGGGATTACAGGGATGAGCCACCACACCTGGCCTAGAAACATTTTAAATGCTTACAAAATTTCTAACAATTTGAAGAATTAAAATTTTAAAAAGTTAAAAAATAACTGAGCAGTAAGTATACAGGAACATTCTATATTATCTTTGCAACTTTTCTGTAAATCTAAAATTATTCCAAAATAAAAACCATTGGTGGCTGATACCATAAACACTAACTAAATGGTCAATTCAGCAGAAAATCAACAAATTCATTAAATGCCTCCCTTTTTCTCTTTAAGACTGTTACCTTTCAATGATAAGCATTATAATTTCTTAAAATTAGTATTGAATGATTAAATATATGCTATTAACCCCCTTTTCTTTCTTTTTTTTTGTTTTTGTTTTTTTGAGACAGAGTCTTGCTCTGTCACCAGGCTGGAGTGCAGTGGTGCGATCTTGGCTTTCTGTAACCTCTGCCTTCCGGGTTCAAGAGACTCCCTGCTTCAGCCTCCCGAGTAGCTGGGATTATAAGTGCACGCCACCACACCTGGCTAACTTTTTGTATTTTAGTAGAGACAGGGTTTAACCATGTTGGCCAGGATGGTCATGATCTCCTGAACTTACTGATCTACCCACCTTGGCCTCCCAAAGTGCTGGGATTACAGGCGTGAGCCACCGCCCCCTTTTCTTTAAACAAGTATTTCTCAGAGGAGAGATTTTAAAAAGGTACTTGGTGGGGCATGGTGGCTCATGCCTGTAATCCCAGCACTTTGGGAGGCCGAGGCGGGTGAGTCACTTGACACCAGGAGTTTGAGACCAGCCTGGCCAACATAGTGAAATCCCCATCTGTACTAAAAATCCAAAAATTAGCCAGGCACAGTAGCACGTGCCTATAATCCCAGCTACTCAGTAGGCTGAGGCAGGAGAATTGCTTGAACCAGGAGGCAGAGGTTGCAGTAAGCCGAGATCGTGCCACTGCACTCCAGCCTGGGTGCCAGAGCGAGACTCTGTCTCAAAAAAAAAAAATAAAGATACTGATATAAGGTCTAAAATAAAAAATTAATAATGACTGCTCCAATTGATTAAAGTGTTTTCAAACATTCATAAGATAATGTACTTACTGTTATTTGAAACCAGAACCAAAATAACATAAACAGACATTCTTTTCAAATTTATGTTTGAATCATTAGATAAGAACCAAGTTAAGTCTTCAAACAACTCTGAAGTACACAAAGTCTGCTGACAGTAAACTGAAATATAAAATATAATTTTAATTTCAATGCATTATCAAAAACATGCTTTCAAATGTGCTGAACAAAATACAAAATTGCCTAACTGGGATGGTTCTTAACCAGATCTCATTTAATTGATATTTATTAGTCATACAACAAAATTTCTGACAAACTGATACGTGCTTACTCAATTAGCAGACTAAAGAAGCAGTATATTGGAGGGGCAGGGCTAAAAAGAAAAAAAAAGAAAAACATAAATAAATAAAGGAGTATATTAATCAAAAGTACTTAATCTAGGCTCCAAAACACATATTGAAATCCCCTAGAGTTTACAATATAAAACTTATCTGAATAAAAACTTAAATAAAAGTTAGCAAAAAAAAAAAACAACCCTGTAAAGGATGAGTAACAAAACAGCAAGAAAAACAATTCAAAAGAATTCAGAAATCTGCTTTAGAAAACAGAGGGACAAACAGTATTCGTGCTATTGAGACTTTTCTAGAAATAAAAATCTTTTCAAAAATCATACTACCTGATAGTTTTTCTGTGTGTGTGATAATAAGGCAAGCAGAATTTTACAAAAATAATATAGACATAAAAATACAATCAATATTTCATCCAGTTCCTAGAATCAGCTATTAGACCTATCCCAAAGGCAAGGACTAAGTGAGGCACAGAAAGACAAACATCACATGTTCTCACTTGTATGTGGGATCTAAAAATCAAAACCATTGAACTCATGGAGATAAATGATTACCAGAGGCTTGGAAGGGTAGTGGGAGGTGGTGGGGATGGTACCAAAAAACAATAGAAAGAATAACTGACTTACTATTTGATAGCACAACAGAGTAACCATAGTCAATAATAATTTAGTTGTACTCTTTAAAATAACTAAAGAGTATAATTGAACTGTTTGTGTAACATAAAGAATAAATGTTTGAATGGATGGAAACCCCATTCTCCATGATGTGATTATGTATTGCATGTCTGTATCAAAACACCTCATGTACCCTATAAATATATACATCTATTATACAGCCATAAAAAAGGATTATTATCTTACTTGTCCCTGTATCCCCAATGCTTTGCACAAAGCTTGGTTTCTAAAAGGTGATCTTTTCTTTTTTTTTTTTTTGAGACAGGGTCTTACTCTGTGATCTGTCACCCAGGTTGGAATGCAGTGGCATAAACTCAGCTCACTGCCACCTCCACTCTCCAGGCTCAAGCCATCTCCCACCTCGGCCCCCCAAGTAGCTGGGATCACAGGTGCACACCACCATGCCTGGCTACTGTTTTTTTATTTTTGGTAGAGATTAGGTATCACCATGTTGTCCAGGCTGGTCTCAAACTACTGAGGTCAAGTGATCCACCTGCCTCAGCCTCCCAAAGCGCTGGGATTATAAGGTGTGAGACATCATGCCTGGCTGATGAGGAAATATTTAATAAATGAAAATGTAAGAATATAAAGTTGGTCTGAAAAACCAATGGTTTATATTTAACCTCATTTTAAACATACTGCAGAAAAGTGTTCTTGCCAACATCCATTTCTATACCCAAAGCACATTTAACCACATATAACATGGTTGTGGGTTATCTTCATTCTTCAAACTGGAAAGAAGATGAAAGAGAATGGAAAGGAAAGAAAAAAGGGAAAGGGAAGGGAAGGAGAAGGAATAAGGGGAGGGGAGGTGAAGGGAATAGAGAAAAGAGGAAGGGAAGGGAAGAGAGGAGGAGGAAAAAGGAAAGAAGGAAGGAAGAAAAGAAGGGAGGGAGGGAGGGAAGGAAGGAGGGAGGCTGGATAAAATTTTTCAAACATGTAAAAAAAGGAAAGGTAATTAACTCTAAAATTAGTTTTGAGTATACTATTAAAATATAACACAATGCTTACGTATAATGAAATAAAGTTTATATTTTACCATTTTTTTCTGCAATAGCTCCTAATGTATATAAGGCTGCTTCTTTTACCATGCTATGTTCACTTGACTTTGCAAGATTTTTTACAAACATCAAACCACCAATTTCCCGAAAATAAACACTTGCATTACCTGTAGGATGTGCAGAAAAAAACAAAATAGAAATGATATTTATTTTGATTACCCTTTCAGGGATAAAATAAATCACATGAAGAAAGTAACATATTATGTAGAATAACTGAGTGGAAGATAAAGAATATGCTTTTTTGATATAACATAGTACTAAAGAACTAGAATCACAGATAAAAATTCACTATTATATCTTACTGTTTTGTTGACAAATTGAATGAATAGTGACCAAAGCTTCCTTTTGTGAAAAAGCATTGTCCATTTGGTGCTTTAGACACTCCAATAGTAAGTTCAGGTCAGTCTTCATTTCTAAAGAACAAAAATGTCATTATTTTAAACCAAAAGGTTTCTTTCAAAAACGAACCATTCAAATTTCACTTACTAAATACATATCTTTGGAATGGTCAACTTTTAAAGTAATAGGCATGTATTACTTTTATAAGCCAACAACCATGTATTTTTAAAAAGATGTTCTTTAAATAAAAGAATTTAAAATGAACTTCTTATAGTTCTTTGATTTTTCCCTTTGCATAAGTATAGGAATAGAAAGTCCAAATATTATTCTCTTTAAGTAAAGCTACACTGGTTTAAATATCTGTCATTTAGAAAAAAAAGTGGATAAAAATGAAAATACAACATATGAGAATTTGTGGAATGCTATGAAAGCAGTATTTAGGATGCAAGGTGTCAAATCAATGACGTCAGCTCCCACCTGAAACCAGTGAAACTGAAAACAAATACAGAGGACGTTCTTCCAGAAGATCAATAAAACTAATAAATTTCTAGTCAGATGAATTAGGATAAAAGGAGTAAAGACACAAATTACCAATATAAAAAATGAGAGAGATGGCATTACCACACTCTACAGATATTCAGAAGATATTAAGGGAGTACTATGCACAATTTCATACCTATAGATTCAACAATTTAGGTGAAATGACATCACCAAAATTCACCCAAGAAGAAAAAGACAACTTGAATAGTCCTATATCTATGAAAGAAGTTGAATTAAGAGTTAAAAACTTTTCCACAAAGAAAACTCTGGGTTCAGACGGTTTCATTTGTAAATTCTACCAAACATTTAAGGAATAATATAAATTCTACTCAAATTTTTCCAAAAGTTTAAGAGAAGGAATACTTCCCAACTTATTCTATGAGGCTGGTATTATCCTTATACCAAAATGGAAGCCATTAGAAAGAAAACTACAGACCAGTTACCCTCATGAACATACATGCAAAAAGTCTAAACAATTGTAGCAAATTGCATCCAACATATCAAAATTAAAATACATCATGGCTAAGTGGGTTTATTCCTGAAATGCAAGGTTATGATTTGAAAAAAAATCAATGTAACATAATAAGCTAAACAGGAAAACCTTTTAGTCATCTCAATAGATGTAAAAACAGCATCTGATAAAATCCAACATGCATTTCTGATTAAAGAAAAATATTCCACAAACTTGGTATAGAAAGAAACTTCCTCAACCTGGCAAATTGCATCTACAGTTGAAAATCCTACAGCAAATATCAAACATAACAGGGAAGACTGAATACCTACTCTCTAAAACTAAATATAAGATAGAGATGTTTGCTCTCATCACTCCTATATAACATTGTCCCAAAGAGTCTAGCCAGTGTCATCAGGTAAGAAAAAAGAAATAAAAGGCCCCCAAATTGGCAAGGAAGTATTTGAATTTGCATACAACATGATCTACACAATTTGATGGAATCTACAGAAAGCTACTAGAATAAATGAACCAAATTTTCCAGTTAACTCTTTAATACAATCGCTTGTACAGTCAAGTGTTGCTTAATGATGGAGACAGATTCTGAGAAACGCATTAGGTGATTCCATCATTGTATTAGTATCATAGAGTGTACTTACACAAACCTAGTTGGTAGAGCTTATTATGTATCTAGGCTGTATGGTATAGTTTTATCACTTTTAGGCTAAAACCTACACAGCATGTTACTGTATTGAGTAATATAGTCAATTGTAACATAATGGCAAATTTTTGTATATCTAAACACATCTAAACATAGAAAAGCTATAATATAGATTTTTTTTTTTTTTTTTTTTTTTTTTTTTTTTTTTGGAGACGGAGTTTTGCTCTTGTTACCCAGGCTGGAGTGCAATGGCAGGATCTCGGCTCACCACAACCTCCACCTCCTGGGTTCAAGCAATTCTCCTGCCTCAGCCTCCCAAAGTAGCTGGGACCACAGGCAAGCGCCACCATGCCCAGCTAATTTTTATATTTTTAGTAGAGACGGGGTTTCACCTTGTTGACCAGGATGGTCTCGATCTCTTGACCTTGTGATCTACCCCCCTCGGCCTCCCAAAGTGCTGGGATTATAGCGTGAGCCACCACGCCCGGCCTATAATACAGATTTTTAAAAAGGTACATCTAGAAGTTTCTCTGGGTGTATCAGTGAGTGAGTGGTGAGTGAATGTGAAGGCTTAGGACATTACTGTATACTACTGTAGACTTTATAAAAACTAAATTTAGGCTACTCAATTTATTTTTAAAATATCTTCAATAATAAAATAAACTTAGCTTATTGTAACTTCACCTAATTTTTTTCTTTTTCTTTTTGCTACTAATCATGCCACATTATTTTTAATTATGTACAAAGATCTAACATGTCACCCAGGGACCATTTCACCCACTGCTCTGTTTGGCCACCAGTCTTTTGTTTCTCTTTTCAGCCATGGTGAGGCAGATATCCTTTCCTCGGGGAAGAGAAATCCACGGTTTATTGCCCTTGAAAATAACAAAAATGTTGGAAAGTTGAGTAGCAAAGCTGCTGCCATTGGCATCTTTCACATGAACCACATCAAAAGATCCAGGGTGCCTCTCTCTGTTGGTAATCATACCAATTCTTCCCAGGTTAGCACCTCCGGTCACCATACACAGGTTACCAGTGTCAAACTTGATGAAATCAGTAATCTTGCCAGTCTCCAAATCAATCTGAATTGTATCATTCACCTTGATGAGCGGATCAGGGTAGCAGATGGTACGAGCCTCATGAGTCACCAGATGAGGGATTCCTTTAGTGCTCACAAAGATTTTTCTCACTTTGCAAAACTTGTATTTGGCCTCTTCAGGTGTAATACTATGGACAGCAAAGCTGTCATAGATCAGACAGAAATTGGTGTCATAGATCAGACAGAAATTCTCTCCTGTCTTGTAAATGCTGATGACATCCATGAATCCAGCAGGGTAGGTTATATCAGTTCAGACCTTGCCATCGATCTTAATGAACTGCTGCATGCAAATCTTCTTTATTTCATCTCCTGTCCCGGCATACTTAAGTCTGTTCCTTAGAAAAATGATGAAGTGGAGACACACCTTCAACTTGTGAGGACCCGTGGATGGATGAAGAACAAACACATTGGTCAATTTATCCAGCATCCAATGCTTTGAAACTGCTACCTGCTTCAGATGCTTCTTGGGACCACAAGCCATGGCTGTGTTAGGCAAGCAAAGAGGATCTCTGACTTCCAGTATGCATAGAAATTGGTACCAGAGACTGTGCACGCCGGATATCCCAGCTAATTTTTTTTAAGAGATGGGGTCTCACTATGTTGCCCAGGCTGGTCTCAAACTCCTGGCCTCAAGCAATCCTCCCATCTTGGCCTCCCAAAGCACTGGGATTACAGGTGTGAGCCATCATGCCTGACTTATTTTTATTTTTTTTAAACGTTATTAAAACTAAGACACAAACACACACTGCATAGTGATTTTCAATTCTAGGCACAATGCAGGCAGGATACAAGAAACTTTTTTTTTTTAAAAAAAACAGGGTCTCACTCTATCACCCAGGCAGGAGTGCACTGGTACAATTACAGAGCACTGCAGCCTCAACTTCCTGAGCTTAAGGGATCCTCCCACCTCAGCTTCCCAAGTAGCCGGGACTACATGCAAATGCCACCATGCCTGGCTAATTTTTCTATTTTTTTTATAAATGGGGTTTTGCCATGTTGCCCAGGCTGGTCTCAAACTCCTGAGCTCAAGCCATCCTCCTGCTTCAGCCTCCCAAAATTCTGGGATTACAAGTGTAAGCTAACATGCCTGGTCTGCAAGAAACTTCTTTACGTACTCCTCCGTTCTCTTCTGTACGCCTTTCTCATACTTTGATATCTCCTATCATAATCCTTCCCTTCCCAGCCAAAACATCTCCTGACATCACAACTATCATGTTTCACCTTGGCTTTTATCTTCTCTAGGCAAAGTAACCTAGTTCCTTCAGTAATTCCTGAAGAAAATAAACAAGCAAATACTGAAGTGAATACAAAAAACATAAGCAATCAAAGAAAATTTGCTAATTGGACTTAAAATTTTAAACCTTTATACTTCAAAAGACACTATCGAGAATGTCGAACAACAGCCCAGTCTAGAATAGAATATCTGAAAATACTGTTATCCAAATAAAATAGGGAGCTTGTGTTCGGAACAGATAAAGAATTCTTAGAATGCAATACTAAAATGACAATCTAAAGTGTGGAATAGATTTGAGTAGACATCTGTCTAAAGAACATAGAGTACCAATAAGCATATGAAAAGATGCTCAACATCACCAGTCATTAGGCAAATGTAAATCAAAAAACATAATTAGATACCATTTCACCCTGTTGCTAAACAATGGACTGACAGGAGCTGATGGATACTCTTCACCCTTTGGCTGGGATGACTCTCAGGGATATAACTAAACTGGCTCCCAGAGTTTCCCAATAGGATTAAGCTCCAGTTACCCATAATAACGTATTTGATAACATACTCTGCCTTCTTTTTCCTATCTCATTTCCCCACTTTACAGCCAGTGTTTCCTGGGATCACTTTCTGAAAAAAAAGTACTTGCACTCAAATCCTTACCTCACAGTCTACTTCTGGGAGCAACCCAAAGACTTAAAATGGAAGAGAGTGAGATGTGGGACTGAGGTTGGAGGTTTCATAAATGGTTTGAGAGGGGAATCACCAACAGTTTTCCCCTGTCTTTCCAGTTTTTAACTTCTCCCTCTTCAGAACCTCCATTCCCTCTTCAGAAATGATCCTGTCTTCTATAACACTTTCCTGACATTACAACTTCCCCCTAGCTATTGCCATATAGCTTATTACTTATTTATTTATCTATTTATGAATGAATAACAGGGTCTTGTTCTGTCACCATGACTTAAGTGGAGTGGTGTGATCACAGCTCACTGCAGCCTTGACCTTCCAGGCTCAAGTGATTCTCACACCTCAGCCTCCCAAGTAGCTGGCACTACAGGCATGTACCAATGTACCTGGTTAATTTTTAATTTTTTTTTTTTGTACAGACAAGGTCTCACTGTGTTGCCCAATTTTGTCTCAAACTCCTGGGCTCAAGTGATCCCCCACTTTGGATTCCCAATGTGCTAGGATGACAGGAGTGAGCCACCACGCCTGGCCGATCACATATCTTTAGTCAAGCTTTTAAAGAGTAAGCAATTCATTCATACTGTGTGTCTTCAGATCTTAATCTTAATTCCAGTCAGATCTAAACACACTGCAATCTGACTAAAATCTATTAAGTTTACTGTTAATATAACAAATAGCATCCTAAATGCAAAATGCAGTAGAAAATTGAGTCCTCATCTGTGGCATTTGACATTTTAAGCACTTAAGCAACCTCTTTCCCATGAAGCATTACATTAGGTTCTGATTTCTAAGATACCACATTCCTGACTCTCTTTCCACCTTTTTGAAATGTTTTTCTTAGACTTTTTTTAAGGGCTCTCTTCCTCAGCTAAAACTTTATGTGATGGTATATATTAATGAACACTATTTTCTACCCTTTTAACTTCCTCCATGCCCAGGATTCAGTTTCCATCTTTCTGGGAACAATTTTGAAATCTGTACTTCCAGGCATACTTTGATGATGGTCCTTTTAGGTTCCCACTATTCTTGTTCACACTGACACTAAATCAACTGTCATGTGATATTCAAATTATCAGTATGTCTTTTCTCATTAGAATGTCAGTTTCCTAAAGCCAGAAATTATGTGACAGGCACAGAGTCGTGCTCAATATTTATGTAAAAGCCTGAAAGATTTTTTCATTTCCTGGATCCCATCAGATAATCTACAGTATTATCTAGCAAAAACAAAGCTAATTGCAGATATATTATCCATCAATTTCTCACCTTGTGTTTTCTTTGTGTCTTCACTTTCCATGCTTGTCTGTATTCTTTTTCCTTATATTTCGTCTATAAGAAAAAGGTATTTTCTCGATTTAAATCGATGTTTGAGAATGCCAAAGATATAAATACAAAGGGGTGGGAAACGTTTTCCTGAAGCCAAAAGACCAGGGAACTACAACCTTTAAAATAATAATTAAATGTAATTAACTTAGTTGAATATTCATGCAACTTATTATACCTGTGATAAGTTGAATCTGCACCTTATTAGATGTGTGATATCAAGCAAGTTGATTAAATTCTTTGAGGTTCTGTATCTTCATTTGTAAAATAGCAATGATATTCCTATTTCACAGAGTTGTTAAAATTACATTTAAAATCACACATAAATGCAAATGGCATTTTTAAGCACTATATGCATGTAACAAATTTTATTAAGCAAATGAATGATTGGGTGACTGGATTCAACTGGACCTCTTATGGTCCCATTTCCTTCTTCTTTTTTTTTTTTTTTTTTTTTAAGACAGCAGGGTCTCACTCCGATGTGCAGGCTGGAGTGCAGTGGTTTGATCATCAATTCAGTACAGCCTTGACCTCCCAGTCTCAGGTGATCCTCCAGTCTCCAGAGTAGTTAAAACTAAGGGACATGCCACCACACTTGGCTAATTTTGTGTATTTTTTGTAAAGATGACGTTTTGCCATGTTGCCCAGGCTGGTCACAAACTCCTGGGCTCAAGCAATCCACATTCCTTAGCCTCCCAAAGTGCTGGGATTACTGGTGTGGGCCCCCAGGCCCAGCCCTCACTTTCTTCTTATTTTCCATATGGAAATCTTCATCTCATAGTTTCAGATTAGGGACCCCTCTACCAATAAGAAGTTTAAAAACACACACACACTCTTCAGATTGGCCTATCTCTTCACAAGCTAAATACTAAATTAACAACCCATGAGTATTTTCAACATGGTATAGTGAAATGGGATCTCACTATGCTGTCCAGGCTGGTCTCCCAACTCCTAAGCTCAAGCAATCCACCCATCTCAGCCTCTCAGAGTGCTGGAATTACACAGTTGAGCCACCACGCCCAGCCCAGAAGCATTTTTAAAATTACTGGCAACTCTATGGCCTCTTATATACCTTACTTTTTAAAATCCTAAACTGATTAGTTAGAAAAATGTCTCAGAGTCCAGTTAACTTCTCAGAGCAAAAAATCAGGATTCGCAGAACTCTAAAATTCTTATTCATTTCAACACTATGTTGTTAAAGAGAGATACCTAATTATTCATTTACAGAGCAAGGCCTTGTCTAAAAAAGAAGATTCCTAAGCACAAAGAAATGTTTAAAGAAATAACAAATTTAACAATCTTTTATAAAGTATTATACAAATGTACAGGTATATTATTTTTGCCTTTTTATAAAGAGGCAGGGTCTCAATCTGTCACCCAGGCTGTAGTGCAGTGGCATGATCCTGGCTCACTGTAGCCTCAAGCCCCTTGGCTAAAGTGATCCTCCTGCCTCAGCATTCCGAGTAACTGAGACTACAGGTGGATACCACCATTAATTTTTTTGTTTGTTTGTTTTATTAATTTTTTAATATTTTTGAAGAGACAAGGGTTTTGCTATGTTGCCCAGTCTGGTCTTGAATTCCTGGCTTCAAGTGATCCACCTATCTTGGCCTCCCAAAGAGCTGAGATGACAGGCATGAGTCACCATGCCTGGCCCATTTTTTAACCTAAATATTATATTAAAATAGAAATAGCTATTTTATGATAAATCCACAGGATAGGATATTACAAGAATATTCACATTTACAGAAATGTTCAATAGCAAAGAAAAATGCTTATGTTACAGAGTTAACTCAATTTAATCTACAGTATGATCCCAATTAGATAGAGGTAAACATAAAATAAGTCTGGCTAGAAAGATGACATAGTAACACTTGTCTTTAGCTGGTTTTATATTATTATAAAAATTTCATAATTTTTATAATAATAATAGCATCTAACATTCAGTAAATACCTATTGAGGTTAGGCTGTTCTTTACACCTTATGAATATTCTTTTTAGTTTTCACGATAACCTTATGAGGGAATTATAAGGATGAAGATACATGAGGCAAGGGCAAATAATTTGACAAAGTTCAAATTGCTAGTAAGTGCCAGAGTTAAAATGGGAACCAAGAAAATTTGAGGCAAGGGCCTACACTCTTATCCTCTCTTATACTGTCTCCCATATAAAATATGTATTACTTTTGAACAAATGGGTTAAGATTTAGAAAAGATTACCAGATTTAAAAAAATGAACTCTTTAGAAAATGGACAATTGTTATCATATATGGATGTTTTTGTTTCATGGATGACTTTAAGGACTATTTCCTTAATTTTAATTATCCAATATATTTTGCTTTTAATGTAATTTTTAAGAGAGGGATAATGTATAATTTTTAAACCTAAATGCTTGGAAATAAAAACTGACCACCCACACTACCTGTTTTCTTCCTTTGTTTTTATACTTTTTTCTTAATAAATGGTTACTTTGCATAATAAGGTAGTTTGTCAACTACCTGGGAGCATTAACACAAGTCATCTATGTACTTGCGAAGTGCTTCAAAACACCCATAGCAAAGGGCAAGTTATAGCTTTCAAGAGGCTGATAATCATAAAATTTAAAATTATAAAAAAAGTATATTCTCAAGAACAAAAGCACCTGCCATATAAAGCAGATTATGAAGTGCTTTCAGTAATTTAGTGAATATGGGTACTGTCACAAACAAGGAGATTTCAAAATTCTTTACTGTATTCTCACAGGAAAAAAGGATTTTTTTTCTGGATAACAGAAAGAACCTCTCCCATTTACACATTTCACTCAATGTATTCCCCAAAACAGTACTGTTAACTCAAATTCAAATTTCAGTAAAAGTAGCTGAACATTATTGTTTACCTGATTTAGGAAATGTATACCAAAAGCTTTTGGGGGAGAGGGCGAGGTAGCTCGCACCTGTAATCCCAGCACTTTAGGAGGCCAAGGTGGGTGAATGACTTCAGGCCAGGAGTTCAAGACCAGCCTGGCCAAGATGGTGAAACCCGGTCTCTACCAAAGAAAAGCATAAAGATTAGGTGGGCGTGGTCACGCACCTGTAATCCCAGCTACTCAGGAGGCTGAGGCAGGATAGTCGCTTGAGCCCAGGAGGTGGAGGTTGCAGTGAGCTGAGATCAGCCTAGGTGATGCTGGAAGACCTTGTCTCAAAACAAATAAATTAATTAATTAAAGAAAGCTTTTTTTTTTTTTTTTTTTTTGAGACAGTCTTGCTCTGTCGCCCAGGTTGGGGTGGAATGGCACGATACCAGCTCACTGCAACCTCCACCTCCTGGGTTCAAGCGACTCTCCTGCCTCAGTCTCCCAAGTAGCTGGGATTACAGGGGCCCACCACCACACCCGGTCAGGAAAGCTTTTTGAAATTGAAATGTTATCCCAAGATATCAGAAGGATAAATGGCATCTTTCTGGGTAAGGCTGGCAGGACTGATAATCCCGCCACTAAATTGTTGTCAGTGGATACCCGGCTTGGAATTACATGCAGCGAAAATATCCTCTAAAGAAGAGAAGAGAAAAAGGGCAAACTTGTTTTCAATGGTTTAAGCAGATTGAGACATAACAGTCATTCAGGTCCCAGAAAACGCACTGAGGGTACCAGGAGTCAGCGGGCTCTACAATAGGAAACCCTCCCCCGCGCCTCCCGCCCAGTGCATAAATCCTCGGGGCCTCCTCCTGGGTTCCACGGGTGACAGAGCGGTAACCTTCCCAAGGCGGGAGCACTCTGCCCGCGGCCGACTCACCTACAGCGTTGGAAAGTTCCTTGTGCAGCGCTTAGGTGGCCCCTCCAGGCTCCCCTCGGGTCAGCGCTGGCAAGTCCTGCGCGGGAGCAGGGCGCTGGTTAGCGGCGCGGGCCACTCGCGAGCCATCAGCCCCCTCAGCAGGCCCTCCCCGCTCAGGTGCTGTGGGGCGCGCGGCCCGGCCCTGACTCTGAGAAACTACCTCACCGGTGGGTCCCACCGTCTCCACACAGCAGAGTCACCTGGGGAGGCGCCCAGGGAGTCGGACGTGAAATCGGGGCGAATCCTGCCAGGCTCTACACACCTCTAAATGGTGCGTGATAAATGTCTCTTCCCGCCAAGGGCTGTGGGGACTACGGCCGGGACCTGGCATCTGCCCATAAGGGCCCTTCCCCCAACTCTACCCTTCTCACGAGGGATAACAAGGGCCTGACGAGGCAGTAGGGCCTCCTGGCCGGCCCAACCCGCCTTCCACAGGCACCAACTTACCGAGTGTTCAGGGGCAGTAAGGCAAGACCCGAACGCGCGGGAGGCACCCTGACCTCTACCCTCCCGCGACGGCGTTCGCCCTTTCCTCCTCGCGGCCCACCTGCCAAGACGCCCAACGGGCTTTCCCGCCCAGCCGTCCCGGCTCACATCCGGGGGCGGGACTTCCGGGAGGCACCCCCGCCATCCCTACGCAGTCTTAATTGCCTCCGCAGGTGCCCCAGGTTGCCAAGGGCAAGGGAGTGGCCGGCGTCCGGATGCAGGGTTTTTAGAAAAGTTACAATTTGAAAGAGAAGTCTAATCTCACCGTCCCTGGTTTTTAGGGTTTTTACTTCAGAGGAGCATTAGCCCCAAAGTTAGGGATCCGTGCGCGCGGTTGACCAGGCCTAGGTTTGGGACGGTGGCCGTCAGGCGCTCGGCGGCGAAGCCTCAACCTTCCCTCTGCCTGGCACCTGTATTTTGCGCTATGCCTTCTCCCTTTTGCTGGGCACCCCGCTAATGGTCACCGCAGCCCCACAGAGGCAGCCAGGCCTCCAACAAACCAGGGGGCCTCCGGAATTCAGTCCGGGCGCTCTTCTCTGCGCCTGGACCAAAGAATCAGAGTGGGGCCGAGGCTGAGGCCTATCCATTGCCTCCTCCGCCATAAAATGCAGCCCACGGGACTGCTAGGCGATGGAGGAGCAAGGAAGGCCCTCGATACAGTGAAGAACAGCTGAAGAAGGGCTGACACAGCAGGGCCCAGAACACCAAGTCCCTGTGAAGTACCCTAGCAAATCGAACAGGTTTTCACTTGGAGACGCTGGCCTCAGAGACAGCTGCAGGCAGGTTGCCTTAGGTACTGAGAGTCATGCACCACGGACCACGTGCCCCAGCCATAAATATTAACACATCAAGCCTGAAACGGGGCACTGCCCCACCTTCTGGATTCTGGATTTCCACTCTGTTTGCATCTACTACTTCCTTTTTTTTGTTTTTTTGTCCTCTCATACGCTGGTGAATGCTAATAGTCCCATGTGAGTTTTCTTTACAATGAAATTTAAAAGTATATATATAGGGGCTGGGTGCGGTGGCTCAGGCCTATAATCTCAGCACTTTGGGAGGCCGAAGCGGGTGGATCACGAGGTCAGGAATTCAAGGCCAGCCTGGCCAACACAGTGAAACCCTGTTTCTCTAAAAAAAAAAAAAAAAAAAAAAAAAAAAAAAAAAGTACAAATAATTTGAGTGGAATGACCCCATAAAATTTAAAGAAGTAGGTGTAAGCAGCGAAAACTCAAGTTAGTTAAGACAACACTACATGTACAAGGGGATGGTCTTGTGAAAACTACATATTCAGAAACAATTCCTTTTTAAATTCTATTTAACAAATGATGGTCATAAAATGTCCATAGCTAACATTTGCACATGGCTTAAATTCATTATTGAAGACGGTAAGAAAAAAAATTTTTTGAACTATCTCTAATAAAACACAAGAGATAATCTATGGCAAGTAACTTTGAAATAGCAAGCCAATATTGATGCTCAATGAGAAATGGATAGGATTCATTTTCTAGGAAAATGACTGTCTCCTTTCCCCTCCCCACAAAGAACAAGACTACATGATTACAAATGAGAAAAATGTTTATTAAGGAAACAATTTAGCAGCTCTCCTTTAGAATTTTACAGACCAAAACACAACCCAAAGGCAATTACAGCTTCAATCATTAACACACTGTCTAAGGGGCTTACTCTACAACTGGAAAGTTGCTGAAGTTTGTGACATGCCACTGTAAATGTAAGTATTATTAAAAATTACAAATTGTTTGGTGATTATTTTGATGACCTCTTGAGCAGCAGCTCCTGAAAGGAAAAAGACACGCAAATCTTTGAAAAGAGTGAATTTCAAGAATTATATAAAAATACTCAATTCGATAAAGAAATCTTTCCTTTTCAAAAGCAAAAACGTTTGAAAGTGACTCAAAACAGATGCAGTTAGCTTACTGAGTCATATCAACATAAAAACCTATAATTCTTTTGTTATTAAAGGAAATCTAAACAGTAGTGTGGTTGACCAAACTTTAAAAGATACACACAGGCATAAAAGATTCTCAAAGGACACCATTCTGCTGCATTTTAATTTTACCTTGTATCTCTTTAACTTTTATAATAAAAAAGGAGAAAGGTATATCTGTTCTAAATGCATTTGTAGTTTAGGAAGGATCTATATTAAATATTGCCAGACTGCTATATTTACTCAAAAGAAAAAAGAAAAAAATTTGTGCATCTTTTATAACCCGAAGATTCCTCTTTCCCACATATTCATGGACTAGATAGAATTTTTTTTTTTTTTTTTTTTTTTTTTAGACAGAGTCTCACTCTCTCACCCAGGCTAGAGTACAGTAGCATGATCTCGGCTCACTGCAGTCTCCTCCTGCCAGGTTCAAGTGATTCTCCTGCCTCAGCCTCCCGAGTAACTGGGATCACAGGTGCCCGCCACCACACCTGGATAGTTTTTTTTGTATTTTTAGTAGAGACAGTGTTTTACCATGTTGGCCAGGCTGGTTTCCAACTCCTGACCTCAAGTGATCCGCCCACCTCAGCATCCCAAAGTGGAGGTCTTACAGGCGTAAGCCACCGTGCTCAGCTGACTGGACAAAATTTATGACTACTGTGTACCAAATACTATTCTAGGCAGTAGGGATACAGTAAGGAAAAAAGCCAAAAAGATCCACTTTCCCTCATGTTACTTTTTAGCAGCAAGAGAGAGATAATTTACAAATAAATACAATGTGTAGTATGCCAACTGACCATCGGCGCTAAAGAGAAAAATCAAATGAGGGAGATATAAATGCAAGAGGAGGGGTTCAGTTTTAAATAGGGGAGTCAGGGATGGCATCACAGAGAAGACTGCATTAGAATAAAACCTGAAAAAAGTGAGGGGATATAATGGCACTATGCAAAATGATTACAGAATGCATAGCAGTAAAAACAACAACAAAAAAAAAAACCCTTAAATTTATACTTTTTTATTTTTTTTTGAGGTGGAGTTTCACTCTTGTTACCCAGGCTGGAGTACAATGGCGCGATCTCGGCTCACCGAAACCTCCGCCTCCTGGGTTCAGGCAATTCTCCTGCCTCAGCTTCCTGAGCAGCTGGGATTACAGGCACGTGCCACCATGCCCAGCTGATTTTTTGTATTTTAGTAGAGACGGGGTTTCACCATGTTGACCAGGATGGTCTCGATCTCTTGACCTCGTGATCCACCCGCCTCGGCCTCCCAAAGTGCTGGGATTACAGACTTGAGCCACTGCGCCCAGCCCAATTTATACTTTTTTTCTGCTATAGGCAAGTCATCTAGTTCATCCATCTGGCTGTACCTCTTTTCAGATTCTGGACTAAATCTGAATAAATAATAATTTGCCCTTTTCTGTGAATTGGCAGTTAATTCTGCTCTTCTGGCACAAGAGACCTGGTTTTAGTTTAAAATAAATTATTACAAATCAGGCTTTAATTTGGATTTGCTTAGAAAGCAGTTTTCTTAAGTCTTATGATTCATTTACATTTTGAATACTTCAAATATTAATCAGACCTAAATCTGCCTTCAAAGCATTCAATATCTAGAAGGAAAATGCCATAAGCAAATAGTTCAGTCTATAGAAGATCAGACAGGAGAGTAGTATTTTTTTGAGGGGTATTATGCACTAAATGGTTTGTGTCCCCCTTAAATTCATATGTTGAAATCCTAACCCCCAGTATAATTGTGTGAGGATAGGGTCTTTGGTAGGTGATTAGGTCAAGAGGATAGAACCTTCATGAACAAGATTAGTGCCCTTAGAAGAGACCCCAGAAACTTCTCTTGACATTTTTTTTTTTCCACCATGTGAGAACACAGAAGAGAGAGCCGTCTATGAACCAGGAAACAGACTCTCACCAGACCCTGACCATGCTGGCACCCTGATCCCAGACTTCTAGCCTCCAGAACTCTGTGACAGATTTTTGTTGTTTATAAGTCTATGATATTCAGTTAGAGCAGCCCAAGGTGACTAAGACAAGGGGGAAGTAGAGTGAGAGAGGGAAGTAAAGGGAGCTTTTATGAAAGACGTCATTTTTGAGTTGGGCCTTGAAGAATATGTAGCTTTTGGATATGCAGAAAAATATATTTTTAAGGCAAATAGCCCCAGAGGAGCAAAGATCTAGGAGCAGGAAATCAAAGAGCATGCCTGAGGGGAATGTACTTAATATGATAAAACCAATGATAGAGAGGCTGAGTAGAACCAGAACACAGAGTTTTTAATGTCAAGCCAAGGTCCCTGGTCTTGCTTTGAGGACCACTGAGGGCAGAGGGTTAGTAGAAGGACACAATCAGAGCTATGCTTTAGAAGGATGAATGACTGTTCAGAAGTTTAAGTTGGCTGGCAGTGGCAGAAACGGAAGGCAGGGAGACCAGTATAGGGGGAAGTGAGTAAGCATCCTAACCTGGGCAACACAGTGGGACCTTCTCTCTACAAAAAACTGAAAAATTAGCCAGGCACTTTGCTACATGCCTGTAGTCCTGGCTATTCAGGAGGCTGAGCCCAGGAGGTTGAAGTTGCAGCAAGCTATGATCACATCACTACA